TAAGGTACCGGAACTGGGTGGCAACTCCACAAGTTACCCGCTCGAAAATACTAAACATACAAATTTTACATTAATAATATTTGGTGGTATAATCAATTTAATTGAAATAGTACAATTATCCTGGAACTCACCTCTAGTCCCAGATTATAAAAGAATCTTAGCGTAAGCATATCTATGTGAAGATAAAAAATATATTTTAACATCCGTCGGTTACTGCTTAATTAAAAAATAAAAATAATAACGTCACCTGCAAATGGTAAATCGCTTCCATTTACGTCGACACTCTTTGGAGCGCTAAGATTGATTGATCTAAGAACACGATCCATCTCATCGCCAGGGATAAGTTGATCATTTGAATTACCGACAAAATAATGAAACTGTGAATAAGCATTTCCATCCGGTGGTGGATAATACATATTCGGAGTGCCTGGAAAGAACGGTGGTATATCTGTAAAGAAAAAAATAAAAAGAAACGAAACACTTTAATGTCTATATCCGATCGGCAAATTAATTCTTTCCAAACCATACTTGATTGAGGTGGATAATAAGTTTCGCCCTGGGGATGAGAATTGCAGACTGGCGATGGTTCTGATCCATTCTCATTTGCTATTATAAGCGCAGAACTTCCAGAAACGATTTTCTCATTATCATTGGTGTCAGTCTTCGAAGTCTTTTCGCTACTCTCGTTACTTTCCTTTTGTTGTTGTTGTTGTTGTTCGACCAATGCCGGTTGAGTGTTGTTCATGGTCACTGGCATGGCATCCACTGAATTCTTTTAAAAATTAAAAGGAAATAAATTATCCGTAATGCTAAACACACAAGAGTTTGAATTTGGCTTCTTTCTCTTTTGTCAAATTTCTTGTTTCAAATCTATTGCTTACTTACTTCTGCGTGATATCCTTGATAAGAGGTGAATCTGTCTATACCATAAGACTCAAAGAGCATCGTTGAATGACCTTTCTCCCAATGTCTATTAAAATCACTAGGAAGAACTGATTTTTAGAAAATCGTTTTAATAGTGATGGGGAATAGCAATTTACCTGGAACCGTCGTCCCACTGAGTAGCATCCTCGCCGTTACCTTTGTTATTGCTGATTTGATTGTTGTTATTCCGATCGTCGTTATTATTAGATTGAGAGTCGCCGTTAACCGGTAGTTCTTTAATTTTTCTTGAATTCAAATTCCAACTCTTTTTCCACCACTTAGTATCTGAGAAAAAGAAGACTATTATATTGATACCGTTTTTATGAAATAAAATAAACAGGAGAAAAATTTATAAAAATGAACTTGGAACACTTCCAATCTCATTAGAACGTACTAAGCGGTTGTCACTTTCAATTTGAGAGCTCAAGAGACACTAACTGATATTTACAAAATGATTCTGTGCTTATTATTGATATAATAATACTTACTGACATCGGATAGGACGTTTTTTTTCGGAGTCGTTATACCCCATCCAGGTTGCTTGTTCGTTGTCTTACGTGGTGACGATGGTTTTAGGGCTGAATAAGGCACTGTCCTCTTTTCGCCAAGCTCCTCGATGAAGACCACCACTGGTCCCTCGTTTTTACTCATCTCCTGGATGTGTCCATTGTAGCAGAGTGGATCGCGCCTTCCTGTTTTTAGAATGACTCTCTCGTTCAGATTACCATTGCTGTCCTTTTCAATATACACGGAATTTCCATTATCCTTGTCGAGTTTTTCTTCGTTTAAGTCCATTTGTACCAGGCATTTTCCTCCAACCTGAAGCTCGCTACTATTGTACCTGGTCCACCCGCCGTTTCTTACCTCTTTACATTTAGAATATTTTGTTTAATCTCCCATATACATTTTTAATACTGTTTATTGCATCATTATGTGGATCAATAAAAAATTGGAATTAATAAAGGATCAATATACCTCGTTTGACTTCATGCCAAATATCAAAATCCGTGTTACGATAGATATTAGGATCTAATGCTTTGGCTACTCTGTATGGAAATGGCGTGATACCCTTGTAAATTGTCTGTATCTCTTCGGTCCCCTCGGAACAATCTTCTAGTTTATTAAATAATTCTAAAGCCAGTTGCCTGAAATATTTAATGAGGATGTACTTCTTTTTATTATAGAATTTATATTCAGCTAATAAGCTTGGGCTAGGAACTTAGGTGGCAATGGGAATGCAGCCTTACTCTCTATTATCCATATTTTCTTTAAGAAAGAACTTCTCATGTCTGAAATTATTTCTTTTGTCATGAAGCATCAGATCTACTGTGTTATCCACATTCGTCATCTTGAATACATTTCTGTACAAAGTCTGATAAACAAGAGCTGTGGGAAAGTTCTTACACTGTAATGCTTACAATAAAAGATACTTTCATAAATATCAATTACATGTGTAACAAAGGAAAAGCTTACACTGGCAATAAGCAGCAACAGAGATAAAATCTCGAGGATAAACACTTTCGTAATGCTTTTGCATGGTATGGCAGAGAAGAATCATCTTGTCAAACCCATTATCAGTAACAATGCAACGTGTTAGACTCTGCCCACTGAATATGACAAATTCTCTGCCATAAAGAAGTGACATTGCCTGAATCTCTAATGGACCACCCCATTTAGTGATACATGCCATTTGTTCCAAATAGTTTTCACTGGATATAGTTATATTCTAAGGATGAAACAAAATTGTATAATTTTCATAAACAAGACGCTAGCTAACCATTTATATCGTGGTCCATTACCCCCTCTAACAGGTGCTTATTACGCTTCATAAATTCTACACATTCTCTTCGAACTCGAACATGAAAATGCTGTGTAAGATAAATCTGTTCGCTGACTGCACGAAACAGACAAGTGGGTTCTCTGGGTCCATGCTTCCTAAAGAAGCCCTCTTCCTGCAACCACTCATCTACAGGTTCTGAAGATCTTTTAAATGGTTTTCTTGGAGAAATTTCCATGACTCTTTAAATAAATAAATAAAACTATTTTACTTTATGTACTATGTTAACGTAAAACAATAATTAAAAAAAATAGTTCTATAAGAATTATGTACAGTAATAATGAGCATTAAATACGTTCCAGAATATTAATTAGAATTACAGAAAAAAATTATATTCTGAAAGTCGAAACACGTGCCTACCCAACTCTTCCGCTCTCGCTCTCTCTCGCTCTACTGTATCAAAAGTTAACTTTCTTAATATGAAAATATTTAACCAGAGAAACCTTACCTGTTAGTTTATTATCAATAGTAAATGTTAATGGGGAGCAGTAGAACAAGTAGAATAAATATACGTACGACAATACTCGATGAACTTCGTGCAAAACTACGTTTTTTTCTTTAGAAGAAAGAATTCGAATAAATCCGTAAGAAACGTTACCAGGTGTTACCAACTACAATTGACCTACTGCCAATTACCTTGTGCCAACTCGAATAAATTGGACTATTAATCACTGTGACTTTAGGCGGTATTTTGAATTAAGGAATATCATTTAAATTCTATATTAATAATGTTCGAGTTAATATTATCCATAAAAAGTAATGCATTTTATACCGTTTCAAATATGTTTCTGAATAAATTCTTCCAATTTTCCCTTAGCCAGATATATTCAAATTTCAAAGAGCTTGCTTTAATCGGCATCCAGTTGGCATAAAATAATACTAAAGCGGAAACGTAATTGGTGCATTCGAATGAACGAAGACCAAAGGATGCAGAGCCTTCAATAAAATTAACCCATTACAAATGATCTTTTTATTATTCATCATAATAATTGTTATCGTTATGATAAAATGCGGTGTGCATGAATATTAAAAAAGTACAATAGCCCGTTATATAAAATATGATTTTTACACGAGTACACCAATCGAATACCCAATTGTCGATATCTGCGCTCGTATAATGCAATATGTTCCGCCATTATTGCTGCTATTGAAAATAATGCTTGCCTGCGAGCAGCTTTCTTGTTAAAAAATATAACCCTTTCGCGAGTCTCGAGTTGGGGGATGAAAATGGGGCGACGGTTACATTTCTGTATATTTCATTAAAAAATGGCAGTTATATTATTGTTATATTATTCTTGCTTCGATTTTCTTTTATCCTTCAAAACCCTGTCGACTACTACACGCCTAGTCGACAATGAGCGACGACTTATTGGAAAGCGATCATCGACACAATCTACGATATAATTGTTTCTTATTAAAGCCAAAGCAACGCTTATATATATATATATATATATTTATATGTATAAATGTTTATAAAGAACCCGTCGCCATTTTTCCATCCCGGCGAATAAAACCACATCGGGCAATATAAATCGTGGCGAGAATACGAGTATGTACTAGGAAAGATTACACAAATATTATCGCGATGGAATCGTATCGGTAATATGGTTGATGACCGTTACGAGATATCAGGATATAAGAAAATGGAAGAAACATCGAGAGCTCCTTCTTCTTGATGGCGTTATGTTGTTCTTGTTATCGTTTATCCGGTACTTTTGTTTGTTTTCTTCTTACACTTCTTCTTTGCAACGTTTCCTTAAGCGGAGACCTTTTCGGCGTCGATCGCTGAAGAAGCAACAAAGAAATAATAAATCATTATTGCTGCCGTTGCACTGACTATAAATACAATGTAAAATGAATTTTCATTTAAATACCTTCTTTCGTTGGCAAAGGATTCTTCTCGAGAGTTTCTGCGTGCTTCAGCTTGGCAGGATTAAAGCTCTCGATACCGGAAATCAATTGTTTCCCTTTCTCTCGTTGAATGACTGTGAAATCGAAATTAACGAGTTCAATTAAATATACGTATCATTCCACTCATTGCATTATGTCAGATCAGTGAAAACTTTCACGGCGCAAGCAGTGCCAACTGCTGACGCAGTGATGATCCTACGAATTCCTTATGACTGGCGAGAATGTAAAATGTCTATCTAACAAAAAAAAACGTAAAACTATGTATCATAATTCTTAGGTATTTGGCATTCATTACCATATTTGTCGGGTAGTGGATTCTTCTCTTGGGTCTCAGTGTGCTTCAACCTGGCTGGATCGAATTTTTCAATACCAGCGATCACGGTTTGTTGAGTCTGTTGAGTCTTCTCAGCAGCGACGTCTGCGCGGGGAAAAGAGAGAAAAAAATTAATTTAATAAGCAGGAAGAGATATAATAAAATAGACGTCCATAAAGTTCCCTTCGAAGCATCAGCTGACAGTGTTATAAAAGCAGGCACCACCTTGCAAACGGTATTGGTTGTGTTAATACATTATTATTATTCTATCCTTATAAGTATAAATTTGCTGTACCCAGAAAACGATGTCATAAATCAGAGGTTATACCAGCAAGATCTTTTGAACTCCCACGACCCCCTCAAAATACCCTATGATTTATGACGACCATTTTAACAATACCTGGTGTGTTCGTAGCACAGTACCAGGATAATAGTACAATAGAGTAGAATGGTACAGGTTTACAAATTGGTACAAGGAAGTACGTAACGAGCAAAGACAAAGCATATCTCGACCAGAGTATGGACTCGATATTTGATTAATTAATTATAGCATCGCCTAGCAGGTAGCACGTGTTAGTATGTGGCCAAAACCAATAGACAATTCCCTGACGCTGCTCATGTCAGGACGTTGAAACGTCTCTAATCTCTGATTGGTACCTTCGGCATTGGGTAAAATAATCTTCTCATGGGTATCAGCGTGCTTCAAACGATCCGGCTTGAAGGTCTCCACTCCGTGAATTAATTCAGAGTGCTGCTTCTCCTGTCGCACGTCTAAATTATCATTACAATGCTGGTATTACAAAGTTCTCCAAAAAATCTCATATGTTCTATTCAAACGAAACTCCAAGAGAATCGAAACTTAATCGTTATGACTTCTAATGCATATTTTTAATCTCTATACCTTCGGCCGAGGGCAACACGTTCTTCTCGGCAGTGGCAGCTTTCTTCATACCGCCATGATTGAAGCCTTCCAATTCACTCTTTAAATCCAGAGCGACCTTGGGCAGATCCTTAAGCGAGGGACTCACAGGATTCGACATGACGGGCGTGATGCTTACTCGTTAATCTGCAATTAAATGGAGAACGTGTTAATTGAGGATGTTCCTTAATTCCTAATTAGCTTTCGCATTGCCTGCGCAAGTCCTATTCTTAATATATTTTTATTATACCTGAACACGATATTATTATCTCATCAGACACTCGAAATTTCTTGGTAACGGATGAATTTTGTATCAAGGCTCACGCATCGGAGTGTAACATCGCGCTAATTCACGGCCTACTACTTTTTGCCGGTGGGAAAGTCCGCCAGTACGGATACAGATTTTCGTTCAGGAATTAACAATTGAGAGTCGTACGGGAAACGAGAGACGAGAACAGAAGATAAAAAAAGCCTATCAAGATCTTTCTAATTGAAACTAGTTTTAAGAGCTTCTACTTTTCTTCTTCGAGTGAAATGTGTACGAGGACATAGAAACAAGCCATCTTAAAGTCTCGGCACTGCGTGGATATATAAATTTGCCTTATTCTCATATCGGTGAGAACTTGAATTACTTCTAGAGTCAAATTCATATGCAGCAACGAGTTCATCCCGGTTAGTGATAACGGCAAAATTTACGCACCATTCAGACTTCCCAAGAATGATAAATCCAAAGACCTATCATAAGGAAGCCAAGACAACCGCAAATTCCGTCCGCGTAAGGGCAGAATAGCTTACAGATTTCGCAATTTCACCGGCGTTTGCTTGTCGCGATATGAAGATATATCGAGGCATTTCAAATTGTTCTTTATTCGCGTGCGCAGGACATTCCCGAGTGGCGATTCGTTTCAGTGGCGATAATAAAAAGCTTACGGATCATTAGGCACGATCCGACAGGAGTTCCGCGCTAATATAATCGCAGCAATGCAAGTCAGCCGATTATTCCTTTTTTTTTTATACGTTCCGATTCATCATACTCCGTGACAAATTGTAGAGAGTAAAGCTTCGAAACGTTAGTGACAATAGGAATCTCGTACCGCGGAAGTGGGAAATGTCACTTCCTGTCGAACGTAACTCCCTCCAGTTTCCTTTCAGTATCCTCTCACCACTGGCGTTCTCCAATTTGAATCTTAACGGCTTTCCTTGAACCAAGCTCTTCCACTCTTCCAGTTTCAAGGAATCCGTATTCTATACCCAAAGGTGTCGGTAAATTAAATATTGGCCGAGTCAGTCTTCCTAATGTATCAACTGGTTGCCAAACGAAATCAACAGATGTCAGGCGGAGTCCGCATCTCTCGAGACGTCAGTCTGTATGAATAAACTGATCGAACGGATGGACGACGGTGAGTGGTACGAAATTCATCATCGTTAGATATCAATACACTCTGTCCTTTTTCTATCCTTTCGATATATATCCTTGCGGAGGTCGCGGACTCAAAAACCAGTACGTAAAGCAACGTGGCTGCGTGGCACGATCTCAACATCGGCAAGGCTGTTGTCCTTATATGGCTCTCAATCGTATCCCTCTATATAGAGAGAGTTCGAACGAAAGAGGCTGAATACGCAATAGCGCAACAACACGGCACAGATCTCGTCCGGCGAGAGACCCGAATACAACGGCCTCTACACTCTCTCTCTGTGGATGCGTGAGCATACAGGGTGTTCTTAATTTACCTTGCCTTTCGAGCCAACAGAGTACAGAAAGACAGATCCGACTTTATTGGGAACTAGAAGCTCTGCTGCAGAATTTCTGAAAAATGTTTTCGCGATACTTTGCAAATTTCTGAAAGGCCTCGGGCATACTTGGCAAAATGTCAAAGAGAGGAAGTAACAAATATTCGATTTAAAATACAATTCAAAGGGACGAGTCAATAAGGAGATAAGGATTTTATTCTTGCGAATAAAGAACTCCTCACCGAGAAACAGTGTCGCCATCTGACATTAGAATTTCGATACTGCTCAATGCATTTACAGATCCACCCACCCTGTCTCTTGCAGCAAGCAACCGAGAGTGCAAATTCAATGTTAAGCATTCCACATACGATTCCGATGGATTGTACGATATGAAAATAGAAAATGATATTTTCAATCCAGACACCCTGTATACACGGAGCTCTGCTTACTAGCATATACACAACCAAGTGCAAGTAACGGGACGACCAAAGGGGTCGACGAGTCCCAACCGTGTCTGCAGCCAAATGTGCCCGAATATGAGCAAATGTGCGCTACGCTCTGACGTCATGCTAAATCATCTGTTGTAAAAGTATTTTTAAAAATCAAATATATCAATATTAACCCTAGCACGAGTTACATTTCTAAGCCCTACAAAAGAGAACCCTAGAGACATTAATATTCTTTTCTAAATCAAATAACACGACCTTCCACGGAATGAGTGATTTTTAATCAAACGCTACGCTCTATTAAACAATAATGGCGATAAAAACCAGTAACTTTATAAGGTCCCATGAGTCAGAGATGCGACCCAGTACGTTCCCAAGACTACAGATATAAAGATTCCAGAGAAACTCGCAGAAAAAAAAGATTTATAGAAATGTACAGCTATCCCCGATTTCTAAATATCCAAGAAAGATCTGATCATCGTCATCTCTAGACTGACTCTTAAAGTGGCGTATGCGTCGTACGCCAATTAACCGTTCGTGCCATAGCAATTAATGAAGAGCGGTCTGGCAATGCTCGCAACCGCTGACCACGGATCCACGGAGGAGGCACGTAAGCGTGCGTAGAAAACGAAGTAGACGACTGCAGCCTCGGGCAGCGCAAACGCGCATAAGTGCAGTACGGCCGTCTCGTGCGACCGTGACGGCTAACGAACCCTGGTTGGTTGGTTGCTGTGCTATGGTACTATGTTTATGGTGTCCTATGGTGCACCATGGTATCGAGCGGCGGCGCGTGTACATGTATAAGAGGCCGAGCAAGGGATTTCCGAGGAACGCATTGGTAGCGGTAGTATAGTCACGCGCAAAAGTTTTTCAATCCCATTGGATAACAGCCCATAACCTATATGTATATACGGTGTGCTGTATTGTAAACGCGCTGAGGGTTGCGTGGCACAGGGTGAATGAAATCTCCAAACTTATTGATGCCAGCTTCCAACGGAGGATGGCCTTACGGATTAGAGTATGGATAGGTTAGGACACGTGCTGTACATACAAGAGTTACCATACATGAGTTTACGTATGAGATGAGTAAATGAAGAGACATTGGAGAGGGTGAGACAGAGAGAAAGGGAGTGGGAGGTCTCGACGTCCAGCAGACGGATTCATCGATTGCCGTACGACCCCTACCGGGTCGTCTAGGAAGTTCAGGGTGGGTATTAACGTATAGCTGCATTTCATGGTCACGGACTTCCTGCACTGCGCGACTATAAATAGATATATATATATATATATATACATATATCTCATATAATTTTTGGTGCAGTTAGAAATAAGGTATTATCACGTGCATGGTTTCAGCAAATGAGCCACGATCGTTCAAAACACGTAAACGATAAGAAACGTCAGCCTCGGATAGGTTCTCTCTACTGATAACAAACTGCCAGAAACGCCGGTTTGAGGCCTACGTGTACGACTCAGGATGCGTTAGGGACGCGAGGATGATTTATTTTCGGCGTCTCCTTCTCTCCTGGGCAATGACTTTTTTGTTTCCCGGTCTCTCTTTCTCTCTCTCTGCAGCTTCTATTAGTCACTAGTTGACAATCTCTCTCTTTGTCAGGATAGGAATGTGCGTTATTACTTATATTCAGCTTCAGGAGGCGGTATAGACGCATTTGCATGCCAGACGCGCGTCCCAACTGCATCTGTCAAAACCACGCCCTGTACCGTCTCCTCCACACGTCCTCACTCCTCGTTCTCGTTGACTACAGTACTTGTGTATGTTGTGTGCACGAGGTTCTGAGCCCAGTATCGGAATCCTGAAAACCATCCTGATACCTTCAGTGAATACCTACTGATAGCTCGCTACCTATCGGCTACCAGGTAGTTTCTGACTTGTCTCTGATATTCTCACTCTACACTATATCTATGTATATAGAAAATACATACTATATAAGTCTATTCTGTCCTGGTAATATATGCATTCCACAGATTCGTCACCCAGGACAAGGACGCTGATTTTCTTTCAATGATTTTCTGTACCCAACATGTCTAATGGAATAATATAATCCTCAAAAGCTTCCTAAAAATTATTTGTCAACTATCTTTTTACCCACTTTAAAAACGACAAGGTGTAACAGCACACTGTAGACATACAAGAGTAAACACCAAAGTCGCACCTGCTTAGCAGCAAACTGTACCTCAAAACCGGTGGAACAAATGTAACTGCGCGTTATCGCAAACACAAAGAAAACCACGTATGCATAAAGTACCCGAGCGTCCCGCTGACAATGAGCGAAAACTTGGAGACTTTATCGACGTGGATTAAGAGGTAAAAAAAATAAAAGATAAAGCCGGCACAATGACACTTCATATCGAGTATACAAAGGCTGCGTGGAATATGCGTAATTATATACGAGCATTCCCTGAAAACTAGAGCATCGTTGCCACGACTCTCGGAATTGTTGGAAATAGTTTTCTTCCTGACTCGACTTCATTCTTCTCTCGTCCTGCACGCCCACGTTTTAATTCGGTAAACTATGTCGGTTATAGCTTTCTATGGTATACACTATATACTCCAATATCGACCGCACCCTTAGCCAAGGGACAACAAAATCCAATAGAGCCTCAAGAGTTGCTCCAAAAGTCAAATTAAGGAACAAGGATTAATGCCATCGTGTACAGCGCTCTTTCTCCTTACAAAATAAACCGAACTAGAACCTAGTGATTGGCTGATAGGTAGAAAGCCGGTTGGAACCGTCAATCGAAGTCGTGATTCAAACATTCCTGTCCTTGGAGTTATAAAACCTCCTGAATTGCAAAGAAAGAAACTTAATAATATCATCAAGAAGGTAATGACTGTTTTATTACTCTCTGCCGTATGTACTGATATGATGAAGATGAAAGAAAGTGATTTATTAACGTGAAAAGGAATTCTTGGCCACTGACCTGTCAGTTGTCACTAGGGGGACTTGAAGTGCACTACGAGTGCTGCTACGAGCCAGCCAAATGTTCAAACGAAGAGAGCAAAGAGTATACTGAAGAGATACCGACTGGTTTAGCGGTTCGTGGCATGCAGAACCATCGAACTGAACATTCTTTCCCGTGGTTCCCCACCAGTGATCCTGATCAGCCAATAGTGAATCGACTTTGCTATTTCTCCTCTCCTCATTGGTCACACCCTACTCCCACCCTCAGCATCGGTAGTCGGCTGCGTCGTGAATTCGTGGCTGACTCACCCTGTCATCATCACATCCCTACTCGGTATTCGGCGTGTGCCTCTCTTGCCACTGTAGGTACTAAGGATCACTATATCCTGCAACATCCTGCACTGTGACTCTACAGTTCTGAAAATATATTTTTAAATATATACGTACACCCGTTCACTGCAGTTTCTCCGAGTAGAACTGTAGCCCTATCCTTAATTAATTAATTATCCATGGGGGTACACTCTTCTTTTCCCTCTTATCAATTCGGGTTATCGTTATCTGCGCGAATAGCGCACAATTATCTCTGCTACATCTGGTAATTGCACCCAGTGAGTTCTTTCCCTAGTACGGGAAAATAAAATGTTAAATTAGGGGAGAGTAATTCGTCGAGGGTTGCTAGTCAGGATGGAATGACTCACTCTGCCTGCACTGCATACGCTTCGTCACCACAGCTGGACGACGTGGTTCCTTCAACTAGACTCCCACCCTCTCAATTTTCTCTTTGTTGAAAAACTTCTGTCGAACCTCTGTGCATGTAACTATACATAGTAGATGATGCTTATGTACGTCATGTATGCATTACAGTAGTGTTCTATAAATGGTACATGGTTTGACTGTTCGCTTTTGGGACTTTCCCATGGATACCAACCACACGCTCGACGTTACATGGGGGTAAAGAAGAACTTTAGAGAATTTAGCAAGAGTATTTATAGCAATACTCTAACAATATAAACGCAGCTAACTATTTAGAGTGAAAATAATATTGTATGTCAGTTATTACCAAAAAATGTATCCATTTAGTTTATCAAATTACCTTTGTATTTCTCGAACACTCTTTATTGGTCTTTTCAAAGTTACTACGGAAGACTATGATTTTCCCTCTTCCATGTTCTATACGATGAAAATGTTTGATACAATTCGTGAAATTAGTTACGGATTTTTGTCAAAAAAAGAAGGGAGATAAAAAATAAACCGCGACTCGGAATGCTTCCGTTATCGTCGAGCACGAAGTGCAGCGAAATGAAACGAGACGGAACAGCATATTCTAACGGTTTGTATAGTATTCAAGGTAAAGAAATGAAATAGATGCATTTAGTAAATCGCTAAACGCCAAAGATTTTCTTTCGAAACGAATTGAAACCCTAAATGATCGTAAATGCTCAATATCGACTTTGGGTGTCTTTATTGATAATAAGGCTTATCTCCTAGACTTAATACACAATCACATATTATTATTATGTTCTTATACATAGTAAATTGTAATCATTATGAATATATACAAAAAGCCATTACAAGGGGAACTCCTATTATGTTAATTACGGCGGTACATCGTAAATCGTGTAGATCCGTCCAAGGTACGAATTGGAGAAGAAAACGAGATAGAGACAGAATCACCTCATTAATTTGCCCTAAATGCGTCAGACCGGTTTGTCTATCTCTGTGTTTATGTATTATTCCAGTGTACTTGTCGGGTATGACACAGAATCGTGTATGTACACTGTACATACATATGGGCAATGCAGATAAAACTGTGTACAATCGTGTAGAACGTTTTAAATTTCTAGGAGACAGATGAAAAAAAAAGGACAAAAAAGAATCTACTATACTCCAATTGATGATCAATAAAAATTCAATTAAGTTTACAATATGTTCCTCGCTAATTTTTACAGGCTCAGTTTGCTAACGATGATCGTCTGCATTAAACCGCCCCCAATTAATTCGCTTTTTTTTCAAATCATGAACAATACGCGTGCTTGTAAAGAATCGTTAACAAGTAGTGACCATGTTCTTTTGGATGTCTGAGTGTAATCCATTTGCGTCATTCGAACAAATGTCCAATGGACAGAAGGTTTGGATACATGAAAAGCATTGGCTTTTTGAATCTGTTATCGTCGTTATAAAAAAAAAATAAGGAAAAGGGGGTAAGAGGAAAGGCAATATAGAAAGGAAAGTAAGATGGAAGGTGGGTAAGACAAGAGAGGACAAGATTTTTTGTTGTAACGAGAAGATCGAAGGCGGAGCTCGGGATGAACTTATAAAGTGATATACGTGGCGCCCTTTTCTTCCGCTCTATTAACAGTGTAGCCTTTTCACTTCCTGTATAGATGATGACTCTTAACGTTGGTACTTTCTTCTGTTAGCTCCGCGCTGTTCTTCTGGTCTTTTCAGGTTTTTTTTATTTTTTTTTTGTTTTTACTTTCCTTTTGTTTTAGCTCAATCGTCCTTTTGCTTAATATTCTCTGGCGATTTATCGCCGTTCATTGGCGAACGGGAGCGACTGCGACTCTTGCTGTGTTTACTGCCTGAGCGGGATCTCGATCTGTCGCCTCTTGAGCGTTCGCGACTCGATCTTTCCCTATAAAAAAAATAAGAAACATTAATTATCCCCTCGTCTTTGCTCTCCCCGAGAAACAATCATTCATATTTATGAAGCTTGTCTTTCTTTCGTTAGCTTCTCGCACGGCCAGTGTCATAAGAGAAACAGACGTAGGAAAGCCTAGAAGAGAAGATGGGATTGTGTGCGGAGGATATTTCTTCCTTTGCGACTTTTTTTTTGGGAATACTAGACACTTACTTCGAGGGGGACTTGGCTTTAGACTTGGACTGCGACCTGGATTTTGACCTCTCAGCCTTGGACCTAGAACGAGATCTGGATTTGGACTTTGACTTAGATTTCGACTTTGAGCGGTCTCTTGATCTGCAAAATTATACAGTACGAATATGAGAAACAAAGAAAGAATAATCGTTTCTGAAAGTAATATACGCGGTAATTTTATATTTTTGGTGTGATCGTGATGAAATCGCGATGAAGCGAAATTTCTTTTTTTTTTTTTTATTTATCACGCGTGACAGTGATTGTGTATATATATATATATATGCGTGTCCTGTGTGATATCTTTGTTGACAAATTCAAATGTACAGGCAACGAACGAGAATTACATGTTTCACAGTGTTTCACACATTATTAATTGTTTCACACAGTGTTTCCAATTTCATCAGGTCCCGAGAACCCCCGTGCGAACAGGAATGTTTTTTAATATAGAAAAGAAAATTTAGTGTTGAAAATACAAAGAAAAGGAAACAGAAAACAAGAACAATGTTAAAGAATAAATAATCGCACTTAAGCATTGTTATAAGAAGCGGGGGAACTATGAAACACAGATATACGGGGGGTGTTAACACAATTTTGATAGTATTCTTACATTCAAATAAATAAATTGATCAAACTGTATAGTGCCGAACATTATTTGAATTCGTCGAATTAAGCCATCATTTTATTATTTTCATATATTAAATTTTTTGAAGGATTTGCCAATCACGCAGTACACCCCTATATACAAAAGCAAGGTATATTTTTATATGTCGTAAGCGAGAACGAAAGAAAGCAAGAAAAAAAAATTAAGAAATTAATCTATAATCGATAGACAACAAATATTTAGATAGCGGGGACTAGGTACTCACTTGGATTTGGACCGTGAGCGACTGCGCTCAGGAGACTTGGATTTGGACTTTGATTTGGATTTCGAGTGTGCTCTAGATTTGGAGCGACTGCTGCGACGACTACGGCTACGAGAACTGCGGCGACTCCTGGTAAAGACAAAATACATCAGAGATCAGATAATTATCTTTTTTTAGCGTTGGACATTTTCTGGCGATTAGATAATCTATTAGTTTTATTAACATCCAGTCTACAAGTAATCAGTGTTGCCGATATGAAAATTTGAGTTCGCTTTTTAGAATTGTCGAGATTTTATAGGTTTACAAGAATAAAAATACTAATTTCAAAAGTTATCATACTAATATATTAAAACTAGGAACAAAGAGTTCAGCAAAGATAAATAAATAGCGTAACAAAGATCAAAGAAAAACAAATTACTGCAGTATAAATACAACGAGCAATATGTTACAGATAGCACTGAAAAGCAGCAGTTTCATTTCCATCTGTACGCCTACGTTTGTGACTATCGTAGTTAAAAAATTATAGCAAATATTATTCGATGAATAAAATAAAAGAATAAATTCATTTTCTCGACATGATCCAGAATCTATAGAAATGATCTAGAACGACTATTGTACCTGGAGCGGGAGCGGGAACGACGTCGGGAACGGGACCTGGAGCGAGATCGAGATCTGGAACTGGAAGATCTTGATCGGCGACCTCGTCTCTTGTCCTCAATCAGACGAATTCTTCGGCCATTAAGCTCGGTATCGTCGAGTTTATCGATAGCATTCTTGAGGTCGGAGTACGTGGCAAATTCTACGACTCTGTAAAAGATAATGACAAAACCAATTAGGAATAAACCAATGAACTCAAGGGACATACTAAAATTATTTACATTAATTGCTCATGTATTACATACCCTTCGTTTCTACGTTGCTTGTGGGCATCTGCGTAAGTTACTTCACCAGCTTGTCTCATGTAATCCTTCAAATCCTAAGCATCACGCAAAACAAGCAATTAGTGGAATGTCACATTAAGATTTATTTATCCTATGTAAGCATTACGTTAATAAATAATTGTGTATGATTTTCTACTGTAGGCGGACTGATTTTTTTAGTTCTTAAAAAAAAAAACGCGAAATTCAAGAGTATAGAATCTAACTGAACCCTGTGCACTCGGTTATATCTGCTGAATCGGTTTTGAAAATTCATGCCACATTTATTCTGCTAACGATAACTCTTCTCTTGCTGCTAGGTCAATTTGAAAATGCTACTTTTATTTTTCTTTTCCTTCCTTTCCACTTCGTGAACGCCGAGTGCTCGAATTTAGTATCGATAAAAACGACGCAACCTTTCTTTATGACATGACTATCTTACTTAGACAAATTTGAACTATTTTTTCTAGTTTCTAGGAATCTGGCGGGCTCCACTCTGCCGAAGAATCATTCACGAAATTCGCTACATACCGTAAACGACGGCATAGATGCAACACTGACAAAAATATCTTTGTGACATTTTTTCATTTAAACTTCGACAGAGTGGCTCACAAAGTGTGTATTTAACAGATATAACAATTTTGTGGAAATGTTTTCACCGACTCGTCGTCACGTAAATGAATAATATAAAAGTAATGAAGCTTATTTTTGCAAAAATCGTCATGAAATCGTAGTAAAGGTCTTTTTCAGCAGACCATATGGAAAATTACCCATATGGATATAAGAAAGTACAGAAGAAGATAAAAAAAAAAAGGAAATTGAAAAAGCATCTACAAAAACTGAATCAATTCTCGAAATCGTAATTTCATAGTGAACCTAATCACACATACAATATTTGAAACAGAAAATTCTTTAAAATTTCTCTAATGTACAACGCACAATGTACTAGAAAAAAAATATTCTAACCAAGAATTTCTAAAAATTGCATGAAAAAGTACGTGAGAGTCGCAGGAGAGCCAGGAATTTCCTAAAACTTAAGTAAAAGAAAAATCTCAAATAATTAGTTGGAAAAGTGTCCTTTGTGAGATAACGCAGCAATCTTCCTTTCCACGTCGATGGGAAACGAGGTGAATTTGTGTCACCACATGGGGAAAAACCGAGAACTATTAAGGCGGATCCTCAGGCTGGCAATCGTGTTAGCATTTCCAAGCTTGGCTGGGGTAACCAATAAATCTTCAAGAGTCTGCGATCCCAGGCGATAAGGCCACTACCCAGTCTCTTGGGTGTACGATTATCAGATGTCCAATACAAAGGGATCATCGTCATCCTCGTGACAATTGTCAACGGATTTTTAGCATCGTCGATTGTCATCGTCATGATCATCTTAATTCTTTTTTTCTTTCTTTTTCATCGGCGAAACTTGTGCCTTGCGTGTGAGTGCGTGCTTGTCTCTGTGTGGGAACCAGGTACGGCTTAATGCAGGAGAGGCCGACGATGCACCAGGAGTCTCTCTTGGATAGCTCGGCGTCCGTCGCTATTTATAGGGCAGGACTTCTCCGAGTACTCTGGAGGTCGGCAGGGGTCGCGGCCAACTTCGGCCAAGATCGGCACCGGGTGGTCTCAGGGCCTTCCCAATAAAAATCTCGCGAGGAGCGTGTGACACGTGATGGTCCCAGGGTGCCGAGGTTGGTGCTCTTGCAAGGAACTCCGCGCCACTCTTTCACATCATTACAATTATGACCGCGACAAAAGACTCGTAAGGTTTATCATCAAAATTTACAAGCGTTTAGCATAAAGAAAAGTTGACGCGTATTGGTTAATTGTAAAATCGCTATGTTACGTTCACAAAGAAAATAGCGTCGCGTTCCATTTCACTTTTAATCGTTAGCTGTTCGTTCTCATTGATCTTAGGATATCTAATTTCGAGCACTTTCTTTTTTTTTTTTTCAAACGGAATATAACAAACCAAATGAAAATAATAATCACGTAAATTCCCTACACTGTGCTCGCAAATAGGCAAAATTTTTAGTGATAGTTCAAATAATGGCGTGTCAACGAAGTCAGCGACGAGATACGAAAATCCTAAATCTCTATCCTTCGTGCACAGTTACTTTCCTCTTTGAGGATAAACACACAAGTTCAATATTAATATCTACACCGCGATAACTTCATTTTTATGGTAGGATAGTCGATACTATATAGATATACTAGACACGTGTATAATAAATATATATTATATATATTATAATAAAAATATCAATATACGTAAATCTAAGAGTACACTCGGTTAAGGTGACGCATTTACCTTGGGCCCAGGCACCACCTTGCTTACGGACAGAGAGAAAGGCCAGACACACGGCGATTGGTCGGGTCGAACACGGATCAGTGTGGCGTAGAGACGCGGATGGTTCGTATTTCGGCCCGTGTGTGCCCTCATGGGTGGCCGCTGCCTGACTTACTAGTAGATGGCTAGGTTGGTGACGATACCGGAGGTCGTAGTAGCGGTAGTAGTAGAAGTAGTAGTGGTCGAAGGGATACACAATTGATTTTCCCAGTTAATAAAAAAAAAAACTTCAGACAGTTCAGAGACCAGTACACAATTGGTACTATGACTTCAGACTGGTCAGGATGATGAAGTCGGGTCTGACTAGGTCACAAGGATGGCATCAATGATATCGGGTAACAATGAAACAAAGGTTAGGAAAAAAGTATGATTGGAACAAAAAAAAAATCGTCAGCTTTCTTTACTCCCAGGAGATGGCGTAGTCGTCGTGACAGATTGGGATCGACGTGGATGACGATGAAGGATGCAATGCCGTGCAGAGTGTCTCTTGGAAGTATGTCGCTGGAAGGATTTTTTTTTTCGTTCACTCGGTCTCGTCACGTTTCACTAGAAGGGTATTTCAGTGATGTTGGTGATGGTAGTGGTACTAGTAGTAACAGTAGTGGAAGTCGTGGCAGTAGTAGTAGCAGTAGTAGTACAGAAGGTGGTAGTAGGTGATGGTAGTAGAGGGTGTACCCCCGTGGACGACGCCTTCGCGGCACTCTCTCTCACCCGGACACCTCAGAAACCAACCTGGTGCCACTTGACCTCAAGGCGGGCCCATCGGCGTGCATCGTCATCTCTCTATCATCGCACATCATCAGTCTATTGGCCCTACCGGTCGCCCCTCCACGGCGAAGAGGACATGGCTCTTCGGAAAGAACATCAATTTTTATTTGTCTTTTGTTCTGAACTGCTGGCCGAACGTAAAGGAAATAATATTGTTTTGTTTATATAGTTATACAAGTATAAATATATATATATATGTACACATATGTAAATATATTATACATATGTGTATATATACATATGTTAATGTTGTGCGTGTATGTGGTATGTATTCGTGCGTGTGTAGATGCGTGTATATTAACATTATAAATACACATATATATGCTGTCACATATATTTAAAGTAACGGTTCGTGGAATTTGAGAAATCGGACTGAATGTATGAACGAGTTACGTCTAAATCGTCAGCAAGGCAACGAATCATTCGGAAAAGTGCAACGACAGACGATTCAATGTATATTGATCAAGTAAGGCTTGGGTTATAAAGTTTTCTCATTCTCAGTCTGTTGACTAATGCTTTCTTTCTCTCTCTCTCTCTTTCTCCCTTCTCGTCTCTCTGTATCTTTATCAGTGGCATAGTTCTCTGCTCCTGGCGTGCATTTTCATCAATTCGAGTGGAAGCCTCCGCATTCCTAGTCCATATGGGCTCAGTGCAACATACACATTTGTTCCTTTGGGATCCGACGTAAACATGGCTGAGTATCCTGACTCTTGCGTCGCATTAATGCCTCGTACAGTCTGGTCTAATAGTTCAAAGTGCGTCCTGGTTATTTCCCACATAGTCCAAATATCAATATGTTCCTGCATATCTTATCCCTGTATCTATATTCCTGTTCCTTGTTCTTCTTCTTCTAATTCTTATTTCCATCAAGGCCCATCAACTCGATAGGCGGAGGATGTTGAACGGGTAATGATGGTGTTGCTCTCCTTATAGTGCAGAGAATCCTTGGAATTCCATTTTGCAGTGCTACAGCTGAGATATCCTTTACACGATGATAAAAAATGGACCCAGTTTCCATTATACCACGTGGAGCAAATCCTAGAGTGCAATCATTCGTTTTCCTTCATCTTGTTATCGCATCCCAAATTACCTTGGACAAAAAATATTAATAGAGTCCTCCAGATACAGTCGGCGTTTACGAGCAGACAAATCTTGCGTTTAAAATTTCTCTATTCACATGTTCCTTGGGCATCCTTCTCTCTCTTTCTCTCTATCTGCCTCTATTCTCATGGTTTGTATTGCGTTAGTTTCTGGTGCGCCAACCAAAAAAAAAAATTATCACGCCGCACAAAAGCCACAGACTTACTTGATCAAAATGTACATCGGTCAAACTCGACAGCGTCTCGACAATATGCAGAGGTTTTTTGGTGGATGTTGATCGGGAAAATTAGAGAGGCGATTGAGGGAAACAAAAAGAGAATAAATAATCATGTTTTTTCTTCTTCCCTCTCCAGCACGATTTCAACTAGTGAAATATATTGGAAAAGATTGTGTGGAGAGAATTCAAAAAGGAAGAAGAAAAAAGAAAACGATTGTTAGATTAAAAAAAAAAGGAAAAGTGACGCGCGTAAGTTTGGTTCGACTCGGGGGATTATGGCTTTAGGTCTCTCTCTCTCTCTCTCTCTCTCTTTTTTTCTCTTTCTTTCAGGACTTTTTTTCGTACGACGTCGACTCGGGGGATTATGGCTTTAGGTCAGATTGTGTGGAGAGAATTCAAAAAGGAAGAAGAAAAAAGAAAACGATTGTTAGATTAAAAAAAAAAGGAAAAGTGACGCGCGTAAGTTTGGTTCGACTCGGGGGATTATGGCTTTAGGTCTCTCTCTCTCTCTCTCTCTCTCTTTTTTTCTCTTTCTTTCAGGACTTTTTTTCGTACGACGCCTTCTTTCTTTATCCCCGCTGCACTATAGCCTCTTCCGGGCAATTGCTATGTGACCCCCTCTTTATTTTGCCTTGTCCTTAGTCTCTTGCTCTTTTCTTGATACCTCGAGTAGCAATCAAACTCACGACGAGGGAATAAGGCACGATAGAATATACACGAGTGAAGGTATTCGACAGTGGTATATAAATAAGTAGAAAAAGAAAGAAAAGAAAATGACTATTTGGTAAATACAGTAATTGAAGAAGAGAAAAAAGAAAAAAATCGAAAACTCACCTGCCAGCTGACGCGGCTCGACAGATTCTCCACTGTAAGACGATACTCGGTACGAGTCGGCGGTCCATATCTACAAGAATTAATAGTAACGTTAATCTTGGAATGAAAGTAACGATTATTGGCTTAATTTTAATTTAAACAAAAGCAGGTTTGTCTTGGACCTGACTCGAAAGGTTAAAGAAGAGTAATTTACACAAAGCCATGATTAAAAAGTAGCAATGTTAAAAAGTAGCAATGCGTAAATGCAAAAATTAAAATGTTGAATGACTCAAAGAACTAAAAAAAAATGTTTCACACATAGAGAAAACAAGACATGCCCGTATATGGACAATAAAAAAGAAAAAAGACAATTCTGAATTTAATGTAAGTGCAAACACAGATTTTGAAAGGAAAAGTAAATTTGAAAGAAAAAGACTGTTTTTATATATTTATATATATCGTTAGAGCGTAACATTGGATGTATGTACCTGGGCAATGATTGCTTGTAGCTAGATGCAGTCCTCGTGTTTCTGTTCACACTATCTCTGCAAAAAGGGATGTCATGTGAACAGAAATAACGGATCGATGGATTATAAGTGGAAAAGAAAAGATAAAAAGAATAATAATAATAATAATAATAATAATAATAATAATAATAATAATAATAATAATAATAATAATAATAATAATAATAATAATAATAATAATAATAATAATAATAATAATAATAATAATAATAATAATAATAATAATAATAATAATAATAATAATAATAATAATAATAATAATAATAACAACAAGAAGAAGAGAGACTCCTTCGCAAGTAACTACAGATCTGCACTCATTGCTCAGGCACACAATCAATCACCTGTTCCCAATCGAATCAAACTTTTTCTACTCAAAATGCAGCAATAGCGTACCTGTCGTGCCGCATATCGTCTCGGCTGTAACAAACACAATATCACACATCTATTAGTCGCCAATTAAAGCCTCACCGTACCTCTAACCCCATTTTTTCAATCTCACTCATTCACTCACTCACTCTCTCTCACTTTCATTTATTCTCTGTCTCTCTACCTCTCTTATCAGCATTTTCCCCTTTCGATTATAGGACATATATCATATATATCTATCCCAGTAGTCCATCATTCCCCATTCACTCTCTCAATTAACAGACAAGAAAGCTAACTCAAAAGACACAAGGGGGTTGGGTCAGTTTCCCCCCCCCCATTATTTTCTTACTGTATTTCAGACAAGTCTTGAGGTATGGATTCTAGAGATTTATGAGTTGGGCCGTATTTTCAGTCAGTCCTGTCGTGTCCACGTTTCGTGTAGTCCAGTGACACAACGAAGTATCCCTATATACTCGACTGCTGAGAGCTTAGTCAAATCCAAGACAACCCAATTTCGAAAACTAGAGAGTACCGAACAGGACGAACGGCAAATCGCGATAAGACTTATAAAGTCTTGTGATCGCCTCGCCGTTCCTCCTCTACGCTCTACCATTATTCGAGCTCATCATATCCGACATTAGATTCTTCCCTGTTGCGTATCGAAGACCTCTGTGTGAGTGTGCCTGTAGTATACAATATTTCATAGTTTTACTATTCAAAAACATATCTCTCTTCCTCTCTCTCGCTCTCTCTCTTCCTCCAAAGAGACCGAATGAAAAGCTAAGAAAGTAACAAAGCGATAGAAAGAGAGAAACAAGCGAAAAAGAAACGTAAAGAAATAAGAAAGAAAGAACAAAAAAACAGAGGTTTTCGCACGTCCCGCCGAGACAGCGTCTCCGTGTGTACGTATTAAACAGGGGGCAATTAGGGGATGATGATCGCTCTGATAAAATAAAAAAAAGGATAGCGTGTCTTACGCAGATCGCCTCGAGTCCCCATAACCACCACGGGAGTCACCATAGCGCCACTGGTCACTACCTCTAGGTGTACCCCGGGCCCTCTCTACAGTAATTCTGTAACAAGACACATTGGATATGCTTACTTGTCTCTCCAGGAGCGTGAGCGTCCGTAGCCACGGTCGCCTCGCCTCCCTGAAACACCCCGTGCTATCTCCACCGCCACTCTGAAACACACCCAACAAAACCCCGCCTAAGTCCTCGACTGATTCTTACTCTAATGCTGCTTCCTTCCTTCCTTCCTTCCTTCCTTCATTTCCTTTCCAGACTTCTCTCTCCTCCGTCTACTCCTTCTTTTAAATACTCCTTTCGCTATCCGCCATTACTCTTTCACAAATGTACAACATTATCTACGTTATGTTACTTATAAAGGAAAAGAAATCAACATTAGTTTTTTTTTTTTTTTTTTCGTTTTTGAGTGAACGTTGCCTCCCCCTACCCCTGCCCCCTTTCAACCCGTTAAAAACATTTCAATTTACCGTCTAAATTTTACCCAAATCAAATACATAGCCGTCCTGATGTATCAGAAGAAATAAAATTGATTTGCTCTCTATCTAAATTTCCTGTTTCATTGAGGACGTCTCGGAGGAGATCATCGTTCTTCGGATGGATCTTGCGGGTCACGGACATTCAAATTACGACTTGCAGTCGGGGAATTGATGGAAGTATGTCAAAATGGCGGCCAAGTCGCAACGGTCTCGCATATTATAATGGTTTTACAATAATTATACATAAAGCGTGACCCGTGCCTCTCGAATTCGCGTTTTTTTTTTATTTCTAAAATCATGTATCCTGATCGAGTTCGAGAGCTCGGGGTCGACGTTCATCGAACTTCCATTTAGCAAGAGAACAATTCTTTTAAGCAATTAACGCGAAACATCCAACATTCATTATTCTGTGGAATGTTTCTAGAAATTAGAAGAAGAAAAAAACAAGATATATCAGTGAAATAATTTAACTAAATTCCACCGAGACAATGATTCAAAGTGTGAATGGAAAAAAAAAAAATGAAAACAAACAAGATTAGAAATTCTACATAAGATACCGTATCACATTTTGTTTTGCTGAACAGTGAAATCTGTAGTACTGTTTATCCAACTTTTCACAGGTAAAAATCTCGTAAAAAAAATTCTGATATAATTCAATGAGCAGGAAGCAGACAAGAAAAAGCAGACACGAAGTACAACAAGATCCATCAGTTCCTAAATGGAATAAATCGATTGAATATGCATTTTCGCAAGCAGAGAGAATTCTGAACAATAATACATATATCTCTTTCCTTCACTACGCGCGCACTCAGCTGTTTCTTCTCGTTTCTGTATGCTTGCGGAAGCACTTTTCTTTAGTCATGTAAATAAATGTATATTCATTCTATAACCGTCCAGTGGTTCTCGTAGTTCGTGTAGGTATTTTTTATAGTACCGTGCACAAAATATCGATCAGTAGAGCACATATCAAGATCTTTACTGAATACATGTTTTAAAGCATTCAAAAATTCTGCCACGTCGACATTCGGTTACGGCACTATAAACAATAATGCACCTGCAAGAAAAACAACTGTTTTCATATTTCCTATTGATTAACATATGAACAATCTGTATACTGAGATTAAGAAAATGGATGTTTACAAGTTGGAGGCGAGAACCATTGACGGCTTGATGAAGAATTTAATGATTCGCTCATTCAGATGAATTTTAGCTATGAAATTTCACTGGTGAAATTTTGCATTAACACCTGTTGCAACAATTCTTGTGTGCGAAAGGCATGGATTTTTTTCTCTAGATATCTCTGATCGAGCCAAACATTCGTTTAAAATTTTTTTTGTGTTTAAAAATAGATATCATATTGTATAGTACATGAGTCTATTCTAGTTTACCTTTCGCCCAACAGCTCCTTCCCGTTGAGCTCGTATACTGCGTCATCTGCGTCTCTGTAGTCATCGAATTCCTGGGAACAAAATTTTTAACGTTAACTAAAAGCTACGACAGAGTGACCGTTTATGAGATTTCAAATTTCTCTAATATAACAGATGTATACTTTGGATTGAAAACGAAAAATGAAAACCTTTTTTCCTTGCAATATTGGACGAAACCCATAACACTTGGCTGCATACGAACAAAATATGTTAAGTGTATTGATCTTCCACGCGATAAATAACAATTCATATTATAAATTATTTTTGAATTATGCAACATTGGATAATTAATAAAAGTCCAAATCATTTAAAGAATGGAAGTTCTCTCATTCTCTCAATAGTTAATTGTCGCGTGAAAGACAAAATAATAAAGTAATAAGAAAAAGAAAATATATGTCGAGTTGCCACTCTTCTTGAGACTCCTCTAATGCGGCTTCTATACTGGACTTACAAAATTTGCAGAATTATCGTCGACAAGCAGGAAACAGCTCGCCTAAGCAGCCATGGTACCATTGGGGTCAGGTCGTGTCAGGTCAGGTTGGGTCATCAAAGTATTATACATAGACTATGTATAGTGAGCGCAACGCATTGGACTTGTTTCAACGTAACTCCAATATGCTTTTACACAAGTGGAAAAATTGCTAATAGCAAATAAACAAATAATCAAATGATAGGACAGTCGAAACGAGTCAAAAGCGATAGCACTATCTTCGGTGTCCCTTATTAAAGGAATACTGATACTTACAACAAAGCCGTAGCCATTCTTGATGAGCACATCACGGAAACGACCGTAGCCTCTGAAAAATCTCTCAAGGTCTCTTTCCCTGGTGCCGTATGGAAGCCCACCGACATAGACCCTTGTTCCTACCATACTGTAAAAAAAACAATTGATCCACATTAGACTTACCACAAAGGCAAATCCGTTCTTCATAGCGACCTCCTTGATTCTACCATATTTCCGGAAGAACTTCTCAAGGTCGTGCACTCGCACCCGGTACGTTAATCCACCAACGAATACTCGGGTGCTCATTCTTAAAGGAAAATATAAAAAACACCTTACATACAGGCTTCCTTGGGAACCTGCTATTTTTTTTAACCATATGACACAACATAAAAATTTCTCTCCCCTTTTTCATTCTTATTTATCTGTGCGACATAGTCTGAGGGACACCTGTCGTCAGGGTGACCATTACTTTTGAAATATATTCCTTCGTTACTTTCACTTTCATTAAACCTGATGCTATCGTCAGATTGATTAACAATGCCTGGATAGCGAGTGCAGCCAAATATTTATCAAATAATTATATGATCAATCCTAATCTAATCTGTGTCAGAATAAAAAAAGATACGAAGGGTCGCTGTTGATTCTGAAAACTTTGTGGTAAATGTTTCAAGGTGCTACGTATAAAGATAATCGTTTAAGTATCATTTACTCAATCTATTGAATTATATCCAAGCAGTTTTTGCTGTATGGATAACCTTTTATCTAAAATAATCTCAGGCATGGATTAACGCATACAATACTAATATATCAAACTTCATATAATCTTAAATAACAACAAACCTTTAGCACACAAATGCTGCAAGAGTGCACAATTTTTAACCAAAATTGCTCACTAAATACAAAAGTGTAGGCTGCAAATGAAAAACTAGAATTGAAAATTGAAAACAAACATGTGCACTCTCCACTGTTCGTAAACAGACTGAAGACTGTAAGCAGTGTCAGCAAAGAAAGATGACTCGGAGGAATATGATTTAAGTGGGAAAATTAATGGAAAACGTTAAATCCCATACAAATAATAACTCATAAAACTTCAGAGAGCGGTCATAACGTACAATGGGAAAAGTTAGATTCGATCATTAACGAGTATTAAACAAAGGTTTAGAAATTAAATAAATAAAAAAAGGAAAAATTCTACAGTTCGTTAACGGAACCAGGGTTTAACATAACGGTAAATGTTTCAGGTATGCAAACTGGTACGAAGTTTCTTGTACCTTTCTCAGTGACAAATATCGGAACTGTACTTTCCTTTAAAACCATAAAAACAAAACTAATATTAAAATATGTCGTTTCAATGTGTATTAATTTTATAATACCGTTGAATCGAATTCGAGATTTTTCAAGTAGAACAAAAAAAATATGGCGGCCGCGTGGTGGTACACGACCGGCCTTTTTATTTATTTATCGAATTCCCATATCATACCCTGTTAAACATAACGTGACGCTATTTAAAAACCGCTAATTCTTTTGTACGCGATCACGAAGTTTCACGTCTCAAGGAATAACTGTAAACCACTTATAACAAAAAAGAGACCAACGTAATCGAAAGCGTCGGTTTTTCCATGGCGGACTGCATACTTGCCACGCTTATTGAATTTATGGATTTACTTACACATTCACGCACACCATTCATTAGAAAAAAGAAAAATAATAATTTCAACAACGATTCAAATTCGCTATCAGTACGAAAACATTCGTTTATCAGATCCAATTAATAACGACGCATTTTGTGAAAAATGGGCGCGGAGGACGCATGTGTGACGTGGACCGGCACAAATTAATTTACGACGTGGCAATTAATAATCACGACGCGAAAAATAATGAATAATTCCCACAAATTATAACGGATTAAATGAAATTCCAGTTAGCATCATTCACCCATAATGCCGGGAAAAGCATAGGTGAGATAATTCATTGGGGTCGCGACGAAAAACTCGATACCGCGTATATAGTTATATTTTTTCACATATATTATTCTCACTCCCATCACTATTTTAATTTTCGAAATTTCCTACAGTTCTCTCCCACAAACATACCTGTATTTTTGTCTTGTACGACGTGCGTTCAATTCACTCTCCCTCTCTGTACGTTTATTTCCACACGAAAGTACTGAATTTACTGGAAGGAGTAACGATCGGCGTCTGAAGCAAGATGGCTCGCCGTAACAACGGAAACAACACGGGGTTCACACAACTTGTTGCAGAGGCGCTGCAAACGCTTTAATCTCGACGACAGACGCTGTGTAAACCTTCAAAGCCGGCAAGACAGAAATACTATATTTATTTAAATATTCATATTTATCTAGTTCGATCCTGTCGGATAGGCATATAATTAAGATATTACTGTCACGAGGAACTGTTGTTGTGACGATATTTGTGTAAATTAACGTTCTTTTCTTAGGAATTTTGAGCCGGTTCCAGTTCTCTTATGCAAACTCAATCGTGATAACAATGGCGTTCCGCGGGGATATAAAGTTGCCGCTAATATGTCTAAATGCAAGGTACGATTTATTATTTGTTAAGTACAGGATCACGGTAATTTTTTAAATATTTTTATATCGAGAATCTACTTGCTTCTGTTTATTTGATAAAATAATGGTAGTTATATTTAAGTTCAAATATAATTGAGGCCGAAGGCGTCGCCGCTTGGAACCGGAAGGAGCATCCTGGCGGTTTGGTTATGAAATTTGCAATTCATGTCACATATCCGTTTTTATTTTATTTATTACGTCGTCTATAATTTTTTGCATCATTGAAATATACATATAATTCAATATTGTAAATATATTTTTGGTAAATGCCTAACGCGTGTGATAAATATAATTTGGATAATGATGCTCAAATATTTTCATAAAATGATAACAACGCAACTTCTTAAGGATCACATGATATTGTTGCGCCAACATTTATTACTTTCCATCAATGTGAAAGAACTCTAATGATAAGTGAACAAAATTTTTAAAAATGGGCGACACTCAAATTTTTTGTATTCTATTGTGACGTTAGATTTTTCTACTTGTGGTTGAAGTGCTATAAAATGTATATAAATGGAAAGAATTAGAAAAAGTTAAATGAAAGGAACAGGATGAAATTGAAAAGACGCGGAATAGAACCGGGAAAATGATGAAGATGTGTCCGCACTCATTATAGAGTAATGGCGCCGGTGGTGCCATCTACTGAAAACAAAAATGGTGGCCAACGATATGCCCTATCCCTGCCCTGGTTTGATGGCACGCCAAATGCCAGCGTTGTCTAGGCTCCTGTTTACTATGTATTTCCCGCGGACTGATATATCCAATTTCGATGTGAACGAGGGCCAACGTTTTGACGCGGCCGCGCCCACATTTCGTGTGAAATAAGTGTGGCTGTTTCTAACCAAACAGTACGTGATCCGAAATCCGTCGAATATTTCGCACAATTATAACCGCACTACTGTGAATCGTCATGTAATTTACCTTATGTAATGTTATTAATTGCGGACAGCCTGTCTGATCGAGGCGTATCAGTCCAAAGAGTATTTAACCCTTACTTTCATGCGGTTCGAAAGAGACATTGTTGCAACAATGGTACTTAAGGCATGTCAGAATTGTATTAATTCGTCACTCTATGTTTCTTGCCTTGCCCTGTTTTAATAGAAACATGTAGAACATTCTTCATAATGAGATTTACAATGATGATATTGTTTTTGGATATCTTCTTCTGTAATGATTTTCCTTGATTTATTGTCGCCAATATCTTATTAAGATCTCAATGGAATCTTGTATTCCAAAGATTTATTTGTGGCATTGTGTCTCTTCGTTACCTTGGCAACAGTACATTATTCTTCTGTTTGTTCATCGAACCTTGTTTTTATTACATAGAGATAACATTTATTAATTTAGATATAAGTATAATCTATGTCTTGCATAAGTCATAATTTGCAATCACTATATTATTATACTTTGTAATAGTTTGCTGTGTTGCTGCAGTTCATAATTAGATGAATGTGCTGATAAAAGAGCATCTGTATACTTCTGTTAATTTTAATTCTACAATGTACAGTATTATATTTTAAACTGCAGTTGTATTCTTAATATTTTAATGCTGTAAAGATCAATTACAAGTTGGCCTGTGGTTCGTTGCTTACAGTACACAAATTACTATACGAACCGGTTATGAGCGAACAATCGCAAACCATGGGGTTGGAAGCCGAAATGGCTGCGCCGTTGCATCTGCAACGCTTGGAGCGTAGCCTTAATGTTCAGCCCTTTCTGCATCAAATAAATGAATTGTTTCAAGATCGTGTCAGGTACAAGCTTATTATCATTACATATGAACCATATTGGCATAAAGTAGCACTATAGATTCTTTGAATTTCAGTGAGGATGATAAATCAGTCTCTTCAGACTCATCCGATGGATCAGAGGCTTATCTCAATGACGTACTCACAAGAAAAGAAGGTAGACTCCCATATCATTATTAAGACAAATTGAATAAGGACTGTTCTAAAAAGGTTGTAGCCTAACAGAGATGTATTCTTTAGAGGAGAGAATTGACAAACTACGTTTATACAATATGACAAACGTCGGAGAGGAACGTAGATGGTTGCAAGATATCCTCCTCGGCGATTCGTCAGACAGCTCTGCATCTGGTTCAGACACAGAAGATCCGGTAACGGAAGAGGACTTTCAAGACATGTTAAAGTTTCACATACTCCGTAAAAAATATCAGGGGCGGTTTTACCAAAAACCTGAGGTTCGATAATTTCACTTATCGAAGAATCCACAAGTCATTTAGAAAACGTGTAACTTTCTTGAACATTACAGAACATTCAGTATCAGTATTACGGTGCTGGGTTGCTGTCAAGTTATGACAGATTTCCTGAGCACCAGAAGCTTATTGTTGGGAACAAGAAGAAGAAGGAGAAGAAACCTGAGAAGAAGATCATGAAGATAAAGAAGGAAAAGGGTGGGCGACACAGAGGATCTGATGAGTATCACGTCAGTATTTTAAGAACATTATCAATGTCACTTTAACACATTCAAATTCTAAAACGCTTATTTTTCTTCAGGAACATGATTATCCTGACGACGACTGGGATCGGGCACCGAAGGACGATGAACTTGACGAAGCTGAATTGGAAGCCATGATGAGGCATCAACCTCGTGCTCGTGGCAGGAAGAAGCATAATAACAAAAGTCCTGAGGTGATGGCCATGAGAAGACGTAAAATCTGGATAATGATGTCCAAAAAGGAGCTCGGCAAGGTTCAGAGAGCCAAGACGAACAACCATAAGGAAATGTTAATAAGCTGTAAGAAAGTTGCACAGCACTGTATGAAATATTGGAGGCAGAAAGCCATGCAAGTAAGTATAAGTTACCCTTCATTTTTAACAATATATGAAAACCTTAAAATATTTTAAATTTTGAACTTTGCGTAATTATGATTATTAATCACTTGCAGTCTCAGAAAAATATGAAGGAAACAATATGGCGAGCTAAACGATTAACTCGAGAAATGCAATCTTACTGGAAACGATATGACAGGGTTGAAAGGGAGACGAGAAGAAGGCTGGAAAAGGAAGCGGAAGAGCAGCGCAAAATGGATGTGGAACTGATTGAGGTAGACACCATATCCGTTGTATCATTATTAGTATAGCTCTCTTGAATGTTTCTAAGGCTAATAAAAATTTGATTCAAGGCAAAACGTCAACAAAGAAAGCTGAATTTTCTTATAACGCAAACAGAGCTCTATGCCCACTTTATGTCACGAAAATTGGGCAAAGCGTCACCAGAAGAACAACTTAGGATTTTAAATCAGCTTGACGAAGAGAAAAATCCCAGATTAGTTGGAATCGATGACTACGATAGGTAGGTATCGTATTAAAGTTCTACTGTTTCGCTATCACAACTATTTGGTATTTGGATTTTAGCGAGACTATGAAACACAAAGCAAAGAAAAATGCTATTGAAGCTTTTGATAGTGAAAGAGCGCGTACAAGACAGTTTGACACTGCCGCAGCGGCTCAGGAACTGCGTTTGAGCGAAACACCAGAGACATTGGAGCATCCGCAGCCTTCAATTTTCAAAGGGAATCTCAAGGGCTATCAACTCAAGGGGATGAACTGGCTTGCAAATCTTTATGACCAGGTTGAGTTAATTGATCATTCAAAAATCCTCGCCTTTTTAGAATCTCTTTATACAGTATTATTGGTTTTTAGGGCATAAGCGGCATCCTGGCTGATGAAATGGGTCTGGGTAAAACTGTACAGTCTATAGCGTTTCTATGTCACGTGGCTGAAAGATATTGTAAGTACAAAATATGATACGACTTTATTTATTCAAGATGATTGTTTATTAATGATTCTTTTATAATTGCTCAGCTGTCTGGGGTCCATTTTTAATAATATCACCCGCATCCACTCTTCACAATTGGCAACAAGAGATGGCGCGTTTCGTACCGGATTTTAAAGTAGTTCCATACTGGGGGAATCCTCAGGAGCGCAAAATCTTGAGACAGTTCTGGGACACGAAGGATCTCCATACTAAGGAAGCTTCCTTCCACGTGGTGATTACCAGTTATCAGCTGGTCATTACTGATTATAAGTACTTCAATCGGATAAAGTGGCAATATATGATACTTGACGAAGCTCAGGCTATAAAGAGCACAAGCAGGTACATGCTTCCTTCCTTTTTATTAATTGTAATATTTCACTTAATATATCAACAAATATATAACTGAATTGTTCATATTTTAGTATGAGGTGGAAATTATTACTTGGATTTAGTTGTCGCAATAGATTGTTACTCAGTGGTACACCTATTCAAAACAGTATGGCTGAATTGTGGGCTTTACTACATTTTATAATGCCAACACTGTTTGATTCGCACGATGAATTCAATGAATGGTTTTCCAAAGATATTGAGAGCCATGCTGAGAATAAAACAGGAATTGATGAGAGTAAGTTTTGACTTACCCATCTAACTAACCTTGAATAAAACTTAAGGTAGTCTATTACGATAAAAAAAAAATTGTATTTTTGTTGCATCTTGCCTTCCTTAGAGCATCTATCCAGGTTACACATGATTCTGAAGCCATTTATGTTGCGAAGGATAAAAAAAGATGTAGAGAATGAACTCTCTGACAAGATCGAAGTGATGGTGTACTGTCCTTTGACAACTCGACAGAAATTATTATATTCCGGTGAGTAATGTATTTTATTAAAATAATTAACTTACGCTTCTTATAATTAATTTTACTTTGTAGCTCTAAAGAAAAAGATCCGGATAGAGGACTTGTTGCATTATACTGTGGGTGGTGGGGATACGACACCCAATGACAAAAATTTTACCTCAAATCTAATGAATCTAGTCATGCAATTCCGTAAGGTATAATTACATCTGATCTCAGAAACTTTTTCTACTGGCTAATTTTTTGTTATACAAACTTAACAAAATAATGAAATATGAATTAGGTCTGCAATCATCCTGAACTCTTCGAACGTCGAGACGCAAAGTCTCCACTTTTCATAAGAACAGAATACTACGAGATGCCACGACTTTTGTACAACGAGGGACTCCTGCACCTTTCATTACCATCTAAGGATCATCTTCTCTACAATAGATTCTTTGTCTTTGCCACAGAACATATACACAGATGTCTCCATCGTCGCGATGATGATTCTCTTGGTAGTTTCTTCTCCTTCTGCAGATTAATCGGCTTGTCTCCCATGGAGCTAAATAAGATCTTTGTTGCTGGGATATTATTCAGGTGTCTATAATTTCCAATCGACGATCCAGATTCATTTTGATTACTTAAGAGTCTTTAAATAATTATGTTATCTGTTTTTAGATTATGTCATGCGACATTTACCGAGAAGAGATTAAAGAAAAAATGTTATTGGGAGGATTGGTGGGTTAATGAAAGAGTGTCACCGCCTATTGATCTAATGTTATTACAAACTAGAAGAATCGAAGCAAATAGTACAGTGACTAATGATTTGATTTTCACGAAAAACATCGTAGAAGGTGAGGCTATCTACACTCATAGCACTCATACTATTTGTTCGATGCCGGAAACAGTAGCACACAGGATATTGCGCAGTAGCAAGCGCGCAGTCAATCAGCTGATCAAGGTCAGTTTAATAGATATTATAATACTTATCGTGTAGACTAGTCGGATTTTAAATAAATACATTTTTTATTTAACAGCGACCATTGCCAACTGTTAAAACAGAACAGGGTGAAGAACCCAAGATTCCTTTGCTTCCGGAACATCCTCACATACCTAGAGCACCCTCGATGCGGTATTGTCAACGTACAACAATTCCTGCATTTCTCTGCGATAACAATCCTAAGGTATATTTTTTATTCATTGACATTCCATGGTATGTCCTTGGAGATGATTCAGCACCGATTGTATACGCTTGTGTTACAGGTACAGGCGAGTCCTAGAAAATTATATGTGAGCAGCTCCGCAGCATCCTGTGGCTGGAGAAGACACGAGGAGTGCGGAGGACCTTTCGGTCAATGTGTACTCCGATACGGTTGTGAAAGAGCTGTCCAGCTTCCTAGTGAACATAGAATGTCATATTTGCGACCTGAGCAGGCGAATAACCTGACGTTCTCACACGACCCACCGGGAGGTCTCTCAGTATCCTCTCCTATAAATGGATGGTCTAACATAATTGTGCCAGGTAGATCCTTTGACTTAATGCATCTAATATATTTCCACTACCCCGGACGCCCACCAGGTTTTACTTGAGGCTGCTATTTCTATAGTCAATGGCGCCAGTAGATACGCAACTTAACTGTAATTCCTGTCACGATTAGGGCAATAGGCGTTACACTAGACGGGTTACGTAGTATGTATCTTTCACATAGTGATTCAAGGCTCCTTATCCACGATCCTCGTGGGACTCTTATGAAGCGACTCTGCTCTCCCACATGCTTATAATTAGAAATGACTACATCCAAACCTTGACTTACCTTTATCTTCTATAATCTTAACAGACAAGCAGACCCTCGTCACGGATGCAGGAAAACTCTCTGTCCTGGACAGCCTTCTACGTCGTCTCAAGGAGCAAGGGCACCGGGTCCTCATTTATTCACAGATGACCAAAATGATCGACCTGCTGGAGGTCAGTCTCCTTTGTTAAAAGGAACTTTGTATTTTAAGAAAAAAAATAATCATTGTAATTCTTATTCATTCTACTACTTACATAGGTACGCTTAAAAATTTGTTTTTCTCTTTACTTCAGGAATATATGTATCACAGAAAACATACGTTTATGAGACTGGATGGGTCATCCAAAATTTCTGATAGGAGGGACATGGTGGCCGATTTTCAAAAAAGGTCAGTATTCATATATTCTACTAGTGTGTTTAATTATTGGAGTATCGATACTCAGAATTATCGTGTGACGCGCTACTTTTAATCGGCGCCTGGTACACAGTGCTTTGTTATCGATATCTTTAACCGTAATACTAGAAGTTAATAACGTCTGATCGGATATCGATCATCCTGTAACCATAATCTGTTAGGTTTTACGTTTCTTGTTTATTACGCAACGAAAGTGGCTCATCGATACAATCTTTTATTGGAAGCCACATGAAAATATAATTTATTTATAAAACCGAGCAACAAGCTCAAGAGAAAATTTATTCGAAGATCAAACAGCATGAATGAACGAGGCATTCGTTCGTTAGGTCGTTCCATGCAATTTCACAATTTGCATAATTAATAGGAAATTCTTCCAATAACTATGCCCAAAAGTCTGGAACCATTATAGTCAATTCGTTAAGTACAGTCATATAGAAAAGTTCTATTTACCCTTCCAATCGATAAAATTCACCAGCAATAACATTCATATATTGTATATATAAATATAATAAACAGTATCTCTTTTTAATGAAATATTCGATAAATCACAGAATATCATTTTGCAAAAAGATTCAACAGAATCCTCAACTTTGCAGATTATAATGCATCAGGGAAGAGCAAGAGCGTAGGATCAGAAAAATTGTTAACATTACTTTGCAAAGATTTTACCATAGAAATCCCCTAAGTGCTGGCCAGCACCCCGAATTAATTTACATACAAAATACAGCCGGTCGTTGCTCGCAACTACAATCTACAGGACGTTCATGTTTCAGGGCGGACATATTTGTCTTTCTGCTAAGCACAAGAGCCGGTGGCCTGGGAATCAACCTTACGGCTGCTGACACGGTTGGTATTATATTTTTTAAGAGGCATAAGGCCCGTAATCGCAGTATGCTTTAATTTTACACTTTGTACTAGTGTATCGTCCTTAGCAGCGTCATTAGCTTTCCAAGTCAGAGGCGTCAGGCATTCCGGAATTCGTGGAATTGAAATTCAGAAGTGAACGGTACCTCGTTGCCAGTTAACTCTATTACACGCTTTCATTTTTTTCCTCTCTCTTCTTCTCTCTTTACTGTGCGTGTCCCTCTATTCCCTGAATCACAGCTGATTCAGCTAACGAAAGGTGAAAGAAAAGAATCCGTAAGAGTAATTGTGAAATTAATGACGTAGAATGGATCACAGTTAATTGCTCGGTGCTCGTTACTCTTGAAAAGGAACTCTCTCATTTATCAATAATATGATTTATCCGCATGAAGTACAATAAATCGTTACAATTATTCTTCCTGCAGAAGCAGCGTGAAATCCAGTGAGAGAAAAGCACGTCCAGATTTAAAGAATTCATTTTCAGACACGAGCAATAAGGATCACTGGGTGTCTCTGGCAATATATCCTCCGGAAGAGTCATCTAGGATCCCAAGGGTGGTGGTACACCCTGTAGATAAATTGAAGTACTCGCATTGCGAGGGAGATATCGCGAGGAAGTGGAGCGCATCGTCACAGTTCCATTCCCCAATATCCAATCCCTCTCATCGATCCAACAAATCTGATTTATTCGGCGACACGGCGTGCCTGGTCGCCTACTTATATCCCGTCCGGATCACGAACCATTTTATTTGCCGTGTTTACCCTGAGAAAACTTTTAGAAACATTCACGACCAAACTATTAAAATCCTCCCCTTCTGTCCCTTTCGACTGGTTGATAGCTCATTCTAAATATAGACCATGCACAGCATTATCATGCATCTTATTAATTTGTACTGTGGTCTGTACTCAGGTAATATTTTATGACAGCGATTGGAATCCCACGGTGGATCAGCAGGCTATGGACAGAGCACACAGACTTGGTCAAACGAAGCAGGTTACGGTCTACCGATTAATTTGCAAGGGCACCATCGAGGAGAGGATATTGCAGAGGGCACGTGAAAAAAGCGAGGTCAGGTTCCAGGATGGATAGATAACATTTAATAGAATTCGTAGCTATTAATGCGTAAGCCACTTTATCATTGCGTTACGCTATCGTTACAGATACAACGTATGGTAATAAGTGGTGGAAACTTTAAGCCGGATACTCTGAAGCCTAAGGAAGTGGTATCGCTCTTATTGGACGACGAGGAGATCGAAGCTAAATGTGAGCTGATAATCCAGTATGATAAATTCCTTAAGGACTTTTTCTCGCAGTTCTCCAGAAGAGTGCAATGGCATTGTGCAATCATGATAATTAGTACCAAATGAAAAGAACTTGGCGGAGATTCCAAAGGAGTGGAATGCATTTCCAGAGTGCCAAGTGGAAAGGAATGGCCTTCCACGTTCCTTGTTCAGCCATCTTTCGTTTTGCGTTTGTTGTTGTTCGTTGATTATAAAATCGCTAAGAGCCAGATCGAAATTAAATGGCGTTCCAGGACTGTGGAAAGTATAACTTGAATGTATCTGGGCCCTCTTACCTTTGGAGGGATTGTAAGGACTGTACGGATACCCAGTGCAATTACAATGGTGCTCGTTAGGTTATGCTAATCACCTAATAACGAATAATAACGAGTAACGAAACCGTACGCGTCCGTGTTCGTATTTCAGACAGCCAACGGAGCGAGGAGAGAAAGCAGCACATTGAGGAGACTCGGCTGGAGTCGAGCCTTCAGTATAAGGAGAGGGACCGGAAGAGGAAGCTAACCACGCTTCCGGTCAAGGTAAGACTCTGCCCCGTGGGCTTTAGGCTGGATACGTTTTTGGATGGCAAGTATCGCTTGTTCAGAGATTTTAATTCTTTTCTATACGAAGGTTGAGGCTAAGCGACCTTGTCTGGAGGATAACCTCGGTGAGGATGTTCCTGAACTTTCACAGAGTAATGTTCTTCCTAGCAAGGCTACAACGAATCAGGTTCAGCATGATGTTCTGGATGACAGTGCGCCAGCCAGTCCTGCTAGGTCCGAGGTACGCGGGTTGTCTGAAGACTTTGAATAGCGACACAAGACTAGCGTTGATTAATTTCTATATTATTTTATGATTCTCTGTTTTCATCAGGACGAGACTAGCAACGAGGGTCTCGTTGTAGACGTGGATGGTCCCGTACCAACTCCTGGTGATACAAAATCCTCAAGAATTGCACAATTTGGAGAACCTCCAAAGGTCGCGAAGCTAGGTCATTTCACATTTGGCCCAGGAGGTGGGGTGAGGATGAGACCTAGTATTCGAGGAAGCAGTAAGCGAGGAAGACCCAGAGGTTCCAGAAGAGGTGGTCCCATAGGTGGCAAAGGTCGAGGCTTACACTTACTTCATCCACCATCCAAAGGGACAGCTTCCCCAGGTCCACCATCTCCATCCTCGGTCAGTGATCCGCAGTCCTCCCCACAGGGTAAGTCGTTAAAAAATACAAAATCCCAAAACAACCAAGTCCAACATATCAGACGTATTTATTCATTGAAATAAACACTATATGCGTACATGACTGTGCATCGACTGTAGAGATGATCGAGGAGGCTTGTAGTGTATAATGGAGTCGGGGAGGGTGACGGGGGGTCGGCAGGATTGCATTCGACTTATTCGATGCTACAATCAATACCCCCTTAATCCCCAATCCCCAGTGTGACGCAGGCGACCCCTCAGCACTTGCCAGGTTCTCATGGGGGTTCGCGAAGTGAGCGCCGTCTGGAGCCATAGCCATCCTGATTGGCAGGGAGTCCAATACACAATATATCCTACACTCCTGAAAATTCCCTGGCGAGCACACATGTGCCCTCGCGAAAAGTAGGGAACCCTCCCCACATCCCTATTCCCCAGTGCCAATGTGTTTCACCATGTACAGTCTATGAGTCACACTTCCAGGATGACCTAATCACCTATCTACGCCTTAACCTGGACCATTTCCTCGAGTTACTCTCCTCCTGCGAGATGAGCACCTCACTGGACACCGGATGGATGCTGGACTGTTAGCCTGCTAAGTGTAACGCGACAAGAATCGAGTCCTCTGCCTATATCTATATATATATATATATATATATATATATATATATATATATATATATATATATATATATATATATAGACACACATCGGGTGCTGGAACTGCACAGCAATATCATTCTGCGCTCGGAGCGGCGAAGAAGCAGGAGCTCCGGTTATGTGTGACGCGCGAGACGTAGATGAGTGCTGAGGTAGAGGAGACACGCGAAGGGGTCCCCGGCCGTCAGCGTGCGGCGGGAGCACGCACGGATAAGCAGGTGCGGAGCGAAGCTGCTGGCAGCTGCGATCGATGCTCTTAGCTTTTTGGAACTCTTGGCCACTTCTCGCGGTTATCTTTTATGCAGGAGAAGTCGCACCAGAATCGGACAGGAGGCGAATGAGGCGAATGAGGCGCGTGCCCGTCGGCCTGATCCTCGTGCGCGTAAAAGGAACCTTACCTTCTTCTCTCTCTGTATCGTTTTTCCACTTTGTGTCGGCCTGCTGTAACACAATGTGCCACGCTACATTCTGCAGGCTTTGGTATAGATATTAACTTTCCTATCGCTGGGACTCATCTTACTATGGACAATTTTACGGTCCAGAAAATCCTACGCGTTCCATACAGTATGGAATTTTGTTGAGGTGTTTCGTTCCCATTTTTTGTGTGTTTCATGCGCGTTTGAGCAATTTTCAATGCACAGAGACGCCAATGGCGCGTGCCGCGAGGACTTTATTTTTCGTAGGAGGTACTTTAATCTTTGGAATTTTTTATACTTGAAATTTAATATTATTCTACGTTTTTATGAATATCGTATCGAGTTTTGAATATCTAAACTATATGGCACACCCTGTACAAGGTGTAAGGGAATATTTCTGTACTTTAATACTTGGGAATTGATGAAACTACCTTAATTTACCAGTCAAGTGTTTACCATAAATCCGAATTTGAGCCTGTATTTAATTAACGCATAACTCGCCGGAGACGTAGAGAGAGAGAGAGAGAGAGAGAGAGAGAGAGAGAGAGAGAGAGAGAGAGAGGGAGGAATAGAGATTCCCGTTTGATTCCACTTGGAATTCCCTCTTACACGAGTACACGAACTCTTTGATGAAAATCAAGTTTGGATTCCGTAGGCTCTCTCTTTACCTATCAAACGGTACTTCGGCTCCGCGGATGAGGTTATACTTTAAAAGGTGGATTGATTACGAGAGACGTATGCTGAATACCAAGTGCTATGCTGCGCCAGAGGAACCTGATTCGAGTCGAGTAGGTAAAAGGTGGAAGGTGACGAGGTCTAAGGTCTCCTACAGGATACAGCAGTACATATTGATATTCCATGTGTGTCGTTACGGACATCGAAGCTTCGCATTGAACGTGTACTGTACTATAGCAAATTTCTGGGGGAAATGTTACAGGAAGACCAGGAGGATCTGGACCAGCAGACGGCGATGGTCCAAGTACAGTGGGTCCCCCCCTGGGTCCACTAGGATCACTGGGACCACTTCCAGGACGCGGCGGAGCACCTGCGATACGCAGAGGGCCAGGACGACCACGACTCCGACCCACGGGACCTGGAAATCAAGGCTATCGTGGACCTGGACACAACCCTAAGAAGGTCCAGAGACCTTTGCCGGTTCCCATTAGATCACATCATCAGATCCCCGCAGCTTCCGGGAAGGGCCTAACGGCTCAGTCGACCGCTGCATCAGCTGCACCTTCGTCACTTCCATCCTCATCCTCTTCGACCTCGTCCTCGTCCTCCCAGAACTCTGAGTCAAGACCCTTTGGATTTTACACGCAACAGACGCCACCGCGAGGTTCCTAAGAGAGGACCCAGTGCGGACTCCAATTTTGTGAGTCCCGATGCAATCCACTATTCTTTCTCTTGATGTTTTTGTTGTTATTATTATTATTGATAATCCCAATTATTTAAGACGGTCGCAATGGACCCCTTTCTGGGAGCGGGATAAATGTCTTTTTTTTTACAAGAATCCCAAGGAATATTATGCTGAAAGAGAACAAAGAGAAATAGATGTTATTGTGTCCATAGAGGTTACGTAAACCTTTTCTTCCTCTTTCGTCCGCTGGAAAATCGACACCAACTCGATCTACGTCATGAGATCAACGCGATTTTATTTTAGAGATTTGGAAAATCTTCGATTCTCCCCTTTCCTTTCCCCTTCGACGCATCACCCAGTTGCCAACTCTCTCTCTCTCTCTCTCTTTCTCCTGCTGTCTCCCAACTTCACGGCATTTTTTTTACTGCACGCACGTGGCAAAAAGGCAGAATGAGTCTGCGGACGATATCCGGAAATCAGAAGATAGGATGATAGATAAAAGAAATTAAGTATATACATAGGTATAAATATATATATATATATATACATATATATTTGAATATATATATAGTATAAAATTAAGTGATTTTCTCCAACACGTACAAAACGACTCGATACGCCGTTTCTACGCTTAGCGATATTTCTGTAAGTGGAAGGAAAAAGAAAAACTTGTCCGTTATTTTGTATTGCACGATAGAAGAAAGAAAATGTAATAAACGAGATAAATGAGTGAATCAATAACGAAGAAAAAAAAAAGAAGAAGAAGAAGAGGGAGATAAATACGAATCTATTAATAAGAAGAAATAATGAATAGCGGTGACGCTCTATCAATTTGTAGAAGAATGGTATTTATTATAAATAAATAGACGCCAGACTTGGATATCCAAGAAAATCAAAAATCTTATTGTATTGATGTTATTGGAAAAAACAAAAAAAAACCATGGAAATCCCATCTACCTATGCCCATTGGACAGCAGGACTTTTTTTCTGAAACTCCATAAATTGACACAAATACTACATGCAAGTAGCAGAATACTAAGGCTAGCAGCGAGCAGGAGGAGGATGTACCTTGAAACATAATCAGCTTGGTCATCGGCCGATCGACATACGCGGCATAACAAGCAATTTATACACTGGCACTCTTCTGGGAATATCCTCCATTAATTTTACGAGTCCGTTTGAGTCTCTCCCACTACACATCTCCACATGTCTCTCGTTCAAAGAGATAAATATGTAGTACGTACCATATACTGTGGCCCGCATACGTAACTATACGTGCTCGCGAATAAATATTCGAGAAGTTGGTAGCATTGAGCGGTTTTTATCACATTTTAATGTCACAAGTACCTCAGCCGCGGTACTGCTGCTAAATTACACCCTCGCTCTTTTGATCAGTCGGACATTATGGATAGGGACTTTTCTATTCTTTCTTATTAGAGAATCAGCTACCGTAGAGACCTTACTTAACGATCATTGCCGTCCTTAGCATCGACTCCGCCTACCCTCTGCTTATCCCCTACTGGGAACCACTTAAAGTCTCCTTGTATGGGGAATTGCATGCTTCCTTGGGGGCCAAAGAGAATCTTAAGGCGTCCAAAGAGACGCCATGGCTGGAACGACAGATAGTTTGGATTCTTCCTGTAAAGCGGTTACTCCGGTGGTTCGAGGATGACTGGGAAAGTCATTTTACCAAAATTTGATAATTACATTTTACTTAATAAATTTGGACTTCGTCTACTTGGCCTTTGGCCCATACCCGAGGACTCGGCTAAGTGGAAGTTCACCCTGAAGAAGCTTCACGTCTCGCTCGTGTACGTCTTGCTGCTCAGTCTACTGGTGCCCCAGCTCTTGGATCTTTATATTCTGTGGGGCGATGTCGATGCAAATGTGGAAAATCTTTGCACCAGCCTCACGACTTTCACTGTTCTTGCCAAATTGACGAATATCGTTGCCTCGCGAGGAGTATTTCAGGTATAGATAAATTGACTGTATTTCCCAAAAGGATGTCTTGTCATTCAATTATTTTGATGTGATTTTTTTTTTTACAATTAGAAATCCTTGGCCACCATGAAAGAAAATTGGGACACCATCATGCGGCACGACAATTGTCCCGAGGAGAGGGAAATTCTTTTAAAGATGTCAAAAGTGGGATTCGTCTTTACAAGGAATTACTGTATAATTATGTACATCACTGCAGGAATGTATTTTTTGAGGCCTCTCGTTGTTGGCTCAGGGACAAAAAGTCCTCACGTTAAGGAGTATCCATTTTGTGCCTGGTACTACTACGATCAATTTTCAAATCTCACCTATGGTATATTTTATTTCTCTCAGGTAAGTTATCTAATGGTTATACACAGAATTATAATTACGTGATATCTTAGTGTGGTTGACTCGTAAAATTTTCTTTAAAAATTCTTATCTCTTCAGTCACAATCATTAAGTTACTTTGTACTTTCTAATATTTCGTATTTAGGTAATAATAGGTTTCTTCTGTGGCACCGGAAATTTTACATTGGACAGTCTGTGCTTGGTAATGGTCTACCACGCGTGTGCACAACTTCGTATACTTCAAAAGCAAATAAGTCAGCTGACCAATGATGGCTCGGATGATATCTTGATCGTCGAAAGGGTTCGTCAGTTGGTGAAGCTTCATAAGAAAAATATAGAGTGCGTAAATGTAACCCGCAAGTGAGATTTAAATTACTCGATATTCTATTACCAATTAAAGAAATGTCAAATTGAAGGAATGCCCGCAACCTGGAGGCCGTCTTCAGTGGTGCGAGTGCCCAGCAGCTGCTCGTAAGCTGCGTCATCATCTGCGTGATTGGACTCAAGCTGATCGTGGTGAGCACTGAGCACAGTAGATTGGAGCGGACCCGACTAGAGAGGAACTATTCTATTGAATTTCACGGATTTGGCCAGCACCCATGAAGAACCCTGTGCAATCGACTATTTAGAAGAAAAAAAAGTAACAGCCTTTGAAATTCCGTAATCCAAAAGTAAACAAAAGATAAGATCGAAAATGGGACAAAAAATCAAAGTTCACACCTTAGTCGATTCACCTTACAGTCGCTGCAAGCTCTTTTTCCTTAACTAGAGAAATTTTCCAAAATCCCAAAATCAATATTGTATCTTTTTTTTTGTCCAGTCTCTGAATGATGCCTTCCAGTTAATAATGTACGTGGCATACATGCAGCTGGTGATCTTCCAAATTTACTTATACTGCAGTCCCGGCGATGAACTGATCAATCAGGTGAGAATTAAAAAGAATTCCTCACCTCCACAATGTGAACAACATTGTAAGTACGTATGAGACCCTTTAATCGCTTTACCTGATCCACTTAAAAAAAAACTATAGAAACAAGAGCTCGTGCACTCTAATCGAAAATCATATAAGTCTCGCCTGAGTAATATGATATTACCTGCACTTAACAAAGTGCACACAGTACACAGGTAACTGGGATGCTCTCTCGTCGAGGTGACTAATTGTCGAGAAACGGGTCCGAGGAGAGCCGCGTTGCACCTGCTCCTTCAAGATACAGCTATACCTTCGACCTACCGAGTCAACCTACAAGCCTACACATGCCGTGCCTACCTGTCCTCTTGGCACGTATGAAAGGCCGCTGAAATTCACACTATCAGGATCGTATATGGAAGCAGCAGAGCACGAGTGAAACTTTGTATTGACGAAAGATCCCAGGAAAAAAAAAGAGAAATATGAATCATACAGGAAGGATTCAGAGAGATTATTTTTAAATAAATAAAATATTGTAAAAGAATGTACGACTCGATTTGAACGCTGTTCAGTTTTATTTCTTGCGGTAAGTAGGCACGCGCGCGTTATAAAGAGCGGCGGAATTAGTGCGACTCCCGTTGAGGAGTCGGAAAGGTATAATTGCGAGCGAGGCTTTCGCGCGGTCGAGAGTTTAGCGTTGCGGAACCACGCGGAACCACGTGGAACGTTACTGGAGGTACACAAATAGTAAAGGGAGTGAATGCGAACGGGAAGAGAGGACGAGAGAGAGGGAAGAAAAGAGAAAGAAAGAACAAAAAAATAATGCGCACACGTGTCGAGAATAAGAATGAGGGAATGCAAGTAATACTGTATAAGTAATGATCTACATCTACGATGAATATGGCAAATGCGTATCTGTATAGATATACACATATAGACACGAGTAAAGTGTACGTATGACTACGCGTATTTTCATATGTGAATGTGGGCACACGTGTCCAAGTATCCGAAGCGAAGCTCCACGTGGTGGAATGAAAAGATTGTCTTCCTCGAATTCCATATTCCAACGTACATGTACTGTATGCTAGGATGGTTTCTGGAGTATCCAGTGAATGCTTATAAAAATTCCTCAGAATTGGAATACCGTAAAGTCAAAAAAAAATTACTTCTCTGTAACGCAAAGACGAATCTTGTAAAATTTCTATTAGTTTTGGAAGGTAGTGTACACCCGGATAACGACGAGGACAAGTGATTACGATAATAATAATGATAAAAGTAGGTAATACCTGTAAGAATTTCCAAGACAGGAAGTTAATAGCTGTATTAGGGATAGCGAAGATTAGTGACCTGTAACAGGGGGAGAAAGAGAGAGAGAGAGAGAGAGAGAGGGGGAAAGAGCCCAATTACGGTAATTACAATTAAGGAGTAATACGGTGCGCGTCGCGCGTGTTCCCGTCCTCTCGACGTAGAGCGACGCCGAGCGTCGTTCAATTATTGCCTGCGGATCAGGACACCAGCGTCTACGTATTCTCTTCTGTTCTCTGTATCGGCTGACACAACGTGTAAATTAAAGCTTTTCATTTCGGCAGCGCGCGAATGTAAGTGGCGTCGCGACGGACGTCGATGCGTTGCGGAATAAGCCAAGTGAAACGATAAATCTCCATTTTACTTAAGGAAGAGGTGAGCGTCGTTTCACTTGGCTCCTGTTTTCGAATCAAGGAAATCGCTGTAGTTCGGCTGCGGATGTCATTTCCGGTCATACTCTTATATACTTATATTTATACAATTTCGTACTATACATATATATTATATAGGTACCATTTATATGTATCGTCTATCGAAAACTATTTCAGGCATTCATTTTTATTTTCATTTTTGAAAAATTGCCTGCAAAATTGTTGAATATTTTATGAAATTTTTCTGAGCTAGTGATTATATACTGTGCACATAATGTATATGTTTATTTATTAGATTCATATATGTTTGTATATATATATATATATATACGCATATGTACGCATAACGTTAGACGCGCGGCATAACATTACGCACTATTCGACGGGAGGAGGAAACGCAATGCGGAATCGTTGACGCGTGTCTTTCGTGCTGGACGGCACGCACTGTTACGCATTTTATTTATATTTTTCATGTATACTTTGAGCGGATTATTTTTCCTCCTGTTTCCTGCCCCGCTTGCGCTTTTGGATGCGTTTCGGTTACATATCTATATAGGTGTTCATATGAAACCGGTAATGCGAGATTCTGTTTTAAAGAAGACTGATCGCTTGCCTTCCGATCGATTTGATTCGATTATCGGGTACGAGTTCTAACTTACGTTTTTTTTTTTCTCTTTACAGAGTATGGAAATTGGCAGAGCCGCCTATATGGCGTCTTGGACAAATTTTCCAAAATATGCCACGCACTCTTTACTCATGATGACTATCAGAGCACAGAGGCCACTCAGAATCACTGCTGGAAGATTTTACGTCATGTCCATACCAAATTTTACTTCTGTGAGTCGAGATTGGAATGAATTTTATAATTTTGTGGATTTAAAAAATTATCTTTCATATAATTATTTTTTGTTTGTAGATTCTCAAAACTTCTGCCTCGTACTTATCCGTTCTACGTGTATTGTACGATTGATAAACAGTAAACAAATATCTAATTGCACGGACACGTGCTGAATCTGTGTGAAAGAAATTAGTCGAAGTAATAATCGTTAAATGGAAGTACGAGCACTGTGTGAAAAATGGATAAAATTGGAATAAAATTGGAAAGTATCCAAAGCAATATTCAAAATTGGAGTATTCAAAGTGTCTATAGTTATTGAACTGTGAGGTTAACAGTTTGGAGACGTAAAGAAATTTAGACAGATACAAGGACCGAATCTTCTGCAACCCCGTCGTCTAAGGTCGACGTCGGCGTCGGCGTCGGGGACTCACCGAGCGTACTTCCTGCGGTGACCGGAAGTCGCGAGTCAGAGGCTCGGCTCTACCTAGCGTTACGCTTCCTTACGCGTATCTACCGTCTCGGTGGCAGTTTGCCACAAGTCTAACTTGCCTGCACCAGGTAGAAGAGACGCCTTCTTCTCCAGAGCATACACCGCAACATTTTCAAGGATACCTTAAATGAGTTCATTTTCTTTTAAAGCATACGACCACTTGGATTCATTAGTGAATAATAATTAATCTTCAGACTTTTCAATCCAAAGAGACAACGAGACTCCTAATGAAATGTAATTCTGTGTTAAAATTCTGTCTGTAGATTAATTCAGCAATAACGTCAAACAGGAAGTGGCTATATTGCAGTCGAGAAACGGATGAATATCGATCGGAGCAGAAAAGATAATACGATCGAAAGGAAAGTAAGAATATTTCGAGGTAGTCCCCGATCGCCATAAGAATTGGATTGTTGGTCCCGGTAGGTGCGGAACCCTCAGGATAGTTGCACCCCGACAGGAAGCCTAATTCCCATCTTCCGGCGTGCATGCATAGACATAAGGTGGAGAAGGTAAGAAGGTGGAAGGTGGATAGGACGTCATCGACTTAATGAGCCGACTCTCTTCCTCCTAAACTCACGGCTTCCGCCCTTTATACGATTTCGGCAGAGTCCAGCGATCTTATCGGCGCTTCCTTCGTGGCTACAGGCGGATTCAGTGCCAGCGGGACGGAGGGATGTGAGTCCCAGTGAGCAGGGCGGATTGAGTTTCCACGCGTGAGGCCCCGGCCTCAGGCCCAGGAGCCTCGCGGAAAGAGGTCCAGAAGATTTTGAAGAAGTGGGGACGCACGGCGCGTGGCAATGTTCTTCCATCGTCGCCAGATGTTCCTGGAGGAGCATGGCAGCTGGCCCCTCCGTGAGGCCCTTCTTTGCTTTTCCTCCTGAGGAACTTTTCCTCAAGCGGGCAGGTACCTGGAGGAGGCAGTTACACCCGGGGCTGCCAAGCGAGAAAATCCTAATGGCCCGTACAGACTCTTCCATTTCGAATTTTCGATTTACATCTGTTCGCCAAGCAGATCATTTCCTTTGCAAATCGTTCGGCAGTCTATGAGTACTTCACTTGTATTTTCATTAAGCGACACAACAAGAAAAAGCTATTAGCAAGGAATCGTAGAAAGAACGACCTAATCGTTACATAAATTTACCAAGACTTTCCCATCTTTGCACGACAGTGAATATAGTTTTGAAATTCCTGTACAGCATGAATTCTCACAAGATCCGCGATACGATTACAGGAGCCGTTATAGTAGCATGTAATTCTTTGGCGCCATAAAAATTAATCGTAAGACATTGAATTTTTTTATCTCCCTTGCCGCCATGCCGTGAAGACTCGCTGTAGGATATAAAATTATCATATTCCACGGCTAAAGTACAGAAGGTAGCCATATCATTGATGCGAGTTTCACATGGAATTATGTACGTGCTACGTGAGTAAGTGCAGTTTGTGCATATGGTGGAAACGTTCATGAGATACTTCCTTTTCCGCAAAATGCCACGAACGTTAAAAATATCCACTAAGTAGAATTCGTAACAGGAGCGAAAACTTGGGCAGCTGGTCCATACCTTAAAGGAGGCAGGATGACCGGAGCTGACGTCCCGACGCTCTGCCGACGCTCTGTAGAGGAGACGCGTGGCTGATCTCTGCGGTATCGAATGAACAGCACGGACAGCTGCACCGACGGTAAGATTCTTCTTTCTGCTCCTTTCCCCTAAACCCTCTTCTGTGTCTTTACCTCCCCCCCCCCTCTCTCTCTCTCTCTCGCTGTTGCCTAAAGATATTTTTTATATTTTCAGAAGAAATATAAAATCCCTCAAAACTTCCTACACCCATACCACCTGACGTCTGATGCTACGTAGATGGGAAAATGAAGATTGTAGAAAAAATCCAAAAATTAAAATTCATGAACAGGTAGAGATGCAGGACTATGGTGCACCAGTGTACTGGCAGACTGTGCACCGAAAGCGTTAATGTCCTAATGAGCGCACTGGGCCATTAGTATTAATCAGTATGGTATTGTGAGTAAGCAAGCATGACTGTCGCCATAAAACCGAGTGTAATGGGATCCCCTGGAATCGTTATTAATGCTGCTGTTATTTAACTACGTTCGCGTCATACAGTTAAATATATTATATACCGTATGGAGTAGAGGAGATCCATGCTGTAGGTAGAATATGAAATAATCAGATGAGTATAAAATTTCAATTAAACCTTCTCACAACGAATATTAACTCCTTCTGGCGGTATTTATGAAAAGACGTCTTTTACCTTGCAGGCTGACTATAACTGAAACGTCCTGCAAAGCTGTAGAGTCGTTAAGGATCCCCCAAGGGGCTCGGATGCATCTGCTGCCATCCTCGTAGAATCTCGCGAATATAATGCAGATAAAGTTGAGATGTTTACAGAAGAACGAAACCTTGGACAAACAGGGAGTAACGGATAAGAAGAGCAGGCTGCACCTGGCCCGTGTGGGTTAGCATATAACCGAGGAGTAGTAGGCAGCATTATCAAGGAATAAGTAAGGGAACAATAGTACCACCATAGTGACCCGGAATACTAGATCAGCAAAAGGTGCGTGCACCAGAATGGTTTTCCAGTGGCACGTGCCTTGAATTGTTGGAGAGATGGCAGATGTGCGTGGAACTATGCGCATGGAAAAGAGATGCAGGTTTCCATAACCTGGAGGATACGCGACGGCCTGACACCACGGGCAAGTGGTTGGAGCTAGAGAACCTAACCCAACTTATTCAGAATCGGAATTAAGGAGTGGGTCCTCGTACTTCCTGTACCCTTACTTTTATTGTACGCATAGATATTCTGGGATTCTATATGATTGCTGTACTTTTAATTTACAATAGATGCCCTGTCCTTTCCTGAAGGACGCAGTTTCCTCTGTCAGGATGTAACAGGACGCCACTAGGAAGGAAGTTACCCACCCGGGGCGGAGTATCCTTCCTCGATGTGTCCTGCAAACAGGCAGCTGTTCGTGATTTGAGCACGTGCTACCACCGACTATGTAGTATTGCATACCAACCTACTATGCCTGCTTGGTAGGGCGACTGAAAACTGGCACCAAAGTGAAGTGTGAGTATGGGGCAGGGGTGCCTTTCATGTGTGTATATAGATAGGTAGGACTGTCACCTATGGCTTACTAAGGTACATGTATGTTGGTAGGACACTCCGGTGTTTCTGGGGAAGGGAGGAAGGAAAGGAGGGACAAAGGATCACTCGGGGAAACCTGTATGCCTCAGGAACCCTCATTTTATATGGATATCACTGGATAGGAGTACCTACCATCCGGGATTGGTTACAGAGTCTTGGATCGATTGCAGATTCCAAGGTTATAATGCTGAATCATTATAAAACACTCTTTAGTCAAAGACCAGTTTGCGCTGACAATGAGATGCATAGAATTTTCTTTTACATGGCAAATAATGTATCTTGCTAGAGAGAGGATGGCAATCTGTAGTGTGGATGGAAATTGGTGCTCCACTTACTGGGTGAGGTTAGGTCGCCTCTTTGGCAAGGAACTGAACAAGGAGGCGGATGGAAAGATGTTAGGATTTTCCGGTCGAGTGGTCCTGCTCGCCGGGAACAATCTGTCGCGCAGAAGACGCTTCAGGATGCCGATACGAGGGCTAGGAAAGCGATCCGCAGGACAGAAGGCACGTGCCTCCCAGTCACAAAGACAGCATCCGCGGACCGAGCCATCTGTTGCTCCGTCGACATTTTTATTCGTAAAAGATGCTGCCGCAGCCGCCGTTTAGGCGATACCCCTAATTAAGCGACCGGCTGCCACCACCGGAGAACAGTTGCCACTTTTAACGCGGATTGCCTCGCTAACGCGCCGCTTAACATCTCGTCATCCTGGACCCACGGGATCCGGCTGGACGCTGTATCAACAACATTGAGAACGGTATTCAGAAACAAAAAGTTGGACCAACTCAGCTGGACAATTGGATCATTTGATGTCATTGGAAGATAGGTCTCAGTGAATTGCACAAGCAGGCTGATTGTGCGGGGAGTTTGGAAGAAGGGCAGGGTACCACCTTCCGTATTATGTAACGTCGCAGCCACCGCAAGGAAAAGAAGCCGGTTTTGTCGATAGCAATTCCGTATCACTGCTCGCTGCACTGGGGAGGGGCAGATGGCCCATGCAGCCAAGTGGCAGCGGGCACGTGCCAACCGGGTCGAACATCTGCCACTGGTTCCCGGGACAACAGAACCACCGACTGCAGGCAGTTTCTTATTTCCCAGTATCTTTTCCCTATTCTTTATTCCTCCTTGGCTCTACCTAAGCCCACCTCCCTAGACCAGGGCTCCCATCCTCCGCCACCTTCTTCGTTCTCGATCCCCAGGTATCGAGCTACGTGCTTCGAGACTCCATTATGCTTTCCTCCTCTTCCAGGGAGATTTCGCATAAAAGTGACTCGCTCGAGCTACGCTTTTCACTGGCTGCTCTTTATGCTCCGCCATTATTGTACCTAGATTCGTTCTTTGTTATTGGCTTCCTTACTCCCGGGCACGCGCTTCGAGATCCCGGGGTCCCTGACCAACGTCTAGAACTTTCCCTTTCAGGATTAATGAGATTGCGTCACGCTCTAATTAAGCCGAGAACGTCTAGGGGTGGATATGAAAATGATTTAAAAGTTATTACTAGAGTCAGTTGTTGTTAAATCAAAGATTTCTCATAACGATCCTACGTGCCGGATGGAACGGATACACCGTTTTTTTACGGTCTCCTATTTTTTTCTATCTGCTCTCGGTAGAAGGTTATGGTAATAGAGTGTGACACCCAGGACGCCATTGGAGAGACAGGACGAAATTTAATTAATGGGTTCGTTAGAAAGCCCGTTTTTATTTTTGGCACGGGATACCGGAATTCGTTCGTCAGTCGATGCGCGAGGGTCGTGAAAGGGGTGTAGCAGCGAAAGTACGTGGAAGAGGAGCCCCAGGAAGGGTGACTGAGACCCGATGGCAAAGGGTTGTGAGTCCCGTGGAGAAGAAAAGATCCAAAAAAAAAAAACGTGAAGAAGAAAAAGAAGAAAAGAAAAATAAGGGTTCCTCACTCGCTAATCCGGGCTGCGGTGAAAGCGAGGAAGTCGACGCATCTGGCACCGGCAGTCCAAACAGCGCTTTTGTGCGATTCCCTTTCGTCCTTCTGGACAGGAAAAAGAGGAGGAAAGAGGTAAAGGGGGAGGCTGGGAAAGGGGTAGGAAAAGAAATGCACGTACCGTACCTGTTGTCGCAGTCGGAAATGGCTACCAGGTGGCGAATCCAAGGTGAGGATCTCGGACGAGCACGAGGCCCCCACCTTTCGAGGGGAAAAAATCGTTTTTCATTAGATCAAGATAAAAATGAGTCAGGTCGAGCCCGAAGTGAATAAGAGGGAATCCTGAAGGCTGGTGTGGACCTAGCCGAACGTAGCCGAACGTAGCCGAACGTGGCAGCAACGAGAATTAACGAGGCCGATAACGAGACGGCAGGTGTCACTATCAGGGGCATCATGGGCATCATCGTTGTCGGACGTGAAAATGGGCCTCGATGGAAAACTGACCGGAAGACTCTACGGGCCCGTAAGACGCCCAACCAAGCCACGGGCTCTTTTTCGATCAGTCGATTTTTCATTTTTTTATCTGCCCTTCTTCTCACAGCTTCCCTGCACCTTTGCTTTTTATTTTTTTCTACCCATAAGGCCCCTCGCAGCCTATCCCCGCCCCCTATCTGCATCTCCGAATCCCCATCGCCCATACCTTCCATATAGCTTCTATGCCTTCCAGCAGAGCCGCGATTTATGGTACCACTCGGAAGGAGCTTTTTTCGATTTCCTCTCCGAAGGAAGGAGAAACGCAGCGACGCAGCTGCTCACGGAAATCCTCCCCCGGGAAAAGCCAGGGTGCTCGGAGGGATGGAAAAAAAAAATCTCAAGACCCTCGAGCCATTTTTTTGCATTTCCTTTTTTCATTTTTTTTTCTCATTCCTACAATTCCACGGATTACCGACACCGTAGACACGTACGTACCATAGGTATACGGGACGCCGTACGAAATCACGAACTTTGACCCTCCTCTGACTCAACAACCCCAACCACCCGAAATCCCCCAGCAATTCCTTCCACTCGCTTTCTTTCATACCCCACGTGGCGAAGCCAAATTTCGCGGATCGCTTTGGCTTGACTTACCCGGATCGAGGGAGACTTCTGTTACTGGGAGGGAGGGGGCTGAATACGACACCTCTGCGCT